GCATTACAGCTGACAGTTTTAAATGCTGCTGACAAAAAACATAACCATAAAGGTAAACAGAGTACATTAGAAACTACTGTGCATTAGCTGAAATTTTGTTTTTCCAAACCTTTCAAATTCAAGGAGTTTGTTTGTTCTTTTGTAAGGACCGAGCATTAAAAAAGGTGACATCGATCAGTATTTAAGGAAATAATTGTAGGTTAACAGTCTTAAAAAGCTTCCTACCTGGGAAAGGCTGGGAGATTATCTGATTTTTCACTACGATGTGAGGAATCTGTGATTTAATTTGAACAGCTTCTCGTGAGAGCTGGGCAAAAATTTCTTTACATAGAAGAACATTCTGTGCAGTCTCCAACTTTGTCTGCCAGTGTGCAGAACCTGAAAAGTATAAATTGATGTTTGCAGGAGGGAAGAGCAAAGAGAAGCCATCTTTTTGTTCAGATGCCAGATACTATGCAGTAGCCAGGTGTGATCACTAAAATAAAGCAGTCAGTGCCTTATACCCAAATTCAGTATTACCAGAATTTTACCTCAGTTAAGTAAGCACTTTATGGTAAAACTGAAACTAATTTGGATTCAATTTTACATATATGTGTATTGTGAAGTGCAACACCCTTATGGAACAGTGTATTACACTCCCGGGCCTTTTGCAAAGGCCTCTCTTTATAAACCTCTACTCCTTATGTTGTGGTTTACTTCCAATGATACTTCTGGCTTTATTAAATGCACTCAATGATGAACTACCCAGTAATGTTCAGTGCATGTATGCGCTTTCACAGGGTATATAGGCCCAAAATTCTTGGGAGATTATGGAGTGAGTAGGCACACAAGCTGTATAATGTACTCACAATACCATATGAAATACCTCATAATACAGCACTCTGTCTATGTTCAGGACAGTACCAGCATCTGGATCACAGACAACTGTGAAATAAAGCCCTGCCACTTTATTTCTAACTTTACAGAGTAAAGGATGGCTTTTTAATCCAAAAGTTTACAACTTCACATACTGGCACATATTAAATGAATCAATGTACTATCTGCCAGGTGAGCTGTTGGTAATTAACACACAGACCACCAGCAGAATTTCAGATCCATATAAAACATGAGCAACAGACACAAATGATGCATTTTGGGCATAATAAAGAGTGAACAATCATTAGTTCAGCTGAATTAATGGGATGTAACTCACTGAAACACAAGACCTTGATCTGATTTCAGATATGGGCTCAAACTTTTAATGTCTAACAAAAGAGGCTCCAGAATACTCAAAATACAACCCTAATAATTTTGCTTCAGAACTGAATAAACACATGAAAAACTGAAGGAGCATGCTTTGAAAGCATAACTTCCAAAGACCAAGCAGCAGCCAGAGTATTTCAGTTTAAATAAGAAAAGTCTTAATTCACTCTTCTTCCCAGCTATATGCTGAAATTTTAAAACAATCATCATATCCAAACTCATTCCTTGAGAATATACTCATAAAACAACATATAAGCTGTACCTGGTTTTGATTTTGGCAAAGGTCTTTTAAAGAGATTGACTGTCCCGAGGTCACCAATGTCTGGTGCTTGTTTTTGAATAGAAACCTAGGCAAGAGAGAACAGCATTTAATGTTTGTTCTTTGTTACAAGCATACAAACCTCAAACAAAACTCCACTAGGTTATTAAGGTTTCTCTGACAAACCTTGATGTATGCTGATCCCTCTAAATCACTTGGAATTTGAACATCCAAAGGACAGTAATCCTCAGGTATCTTTTTATCCAGGTCAATATCAGTGTTCTTTATCACCTCAAATGTGCCATGATGAAGAAAAAGTGACCCTGAGTAAAGGACAAAGATATACACATTAAATATTAAGCACCCTCCGCAAATAAAAAAGCTTTTGTTTTGGGAGAATATGTATTTCTGAGTCTCCAAATCTTCAGAGCTGCACTTGACTCACATATCTTAATGACTTCTTAAAAAAACCCAGGTAAATTAGAAAGCTTATGCCACTGTAACAGCATGTCAATCCTCCACTGTGCAATGTGTAATATTTTACAGTAAGTTAACAGAGAGTATTTAATAATTATGGGAGGAAGCCAAGAGTTTTTTGAAATTGAGTCATTAGATGCAAGGAAGGCAAAAAAAAAAGATATCTGGTTAAAAAAAAGTGCAAAAAGTAAGTGTGTGAAGATTTGCAAGCAGGTAGTTAAAGGTACAACACCCTTACTGATTTAAAGGAATTCTGATGTTTGCCTTGAAATCTTAAAATTATGACCATGTTCTGACTGGAAAAGATAACTCTATGGACAGTCATTCGGTGACTGATAAAAGCAGATACCCACATCTATCCTAGCTGCACACCTTTTTCATCCCAGGCACAGCTCACCTAGTCCAGGGTAAATCAACTAAAAATTATATATAGCCTGGAGTACATCTACAGCTTTTTCATTAATAAATCTCAATTTGTCCTTCCCCCCACCACCAATGACAACAGGAACCCAACACATGTCTTGTTATGTCTGCTTTGTACCTACATCCTCTGTTCTGTGTGATTCTGTACTCACTTTGTCACTCCATAACGGCCTCTAGAACCCTGGGCTGCTCACCCCCCTTAAATGTAATCCTTGAATTAAGGCATCTTCTCAGCATCATTTCTCAGATGTAGGAATAACAGGTATAATAATCTACCTTCAACATCACTCTTTAGTGATGGTTTAGTTTTACCTGGTGTGAATTCTAGGGAGTAGGGAGTTAGACATCTGGGTCCCTTCTAACTTGAGATATTGTAGGATTGTCTGGTCTTTGATTAATAAAAATGTAATCAACTCTTCACTTTTTTTTTAATGCTTTACACACCAAATATAGATTAAAAGCCAAGGATTTACAAAGCCTGCCTGTCAACTGATCAACTACACTGCAAATGCAGTATTGTTTTTGTGAACAAATTCTTAGTAAAATACTCCAGTTACCCTTTAAAATTACTTTCGCGATTGAAGATGCCAAGATATTTCCCGATACTAAAACAAGAGTTCTCCCTTTATAAACCTGTCTCATAAATAAATTCACATTGAAATTATTTATTAAGATATATTCCATCTCTTTTTCCAGTTACAAAAAGACAATTTCATAAAATATCTCTTCTTGTGAAAAGATCCTACTGTTTACCTGCACTTCTGTAGCTCAGATCACCAAGAATTTTATCTCCCACTTTTCTCAGCTTCCAGTGTTGTCTCAGTCGTAACAGTTCAGAGTTGAAGTCTCTTTGTCGCTTATTTTCTTGATTTTCAGCAACTGATTTGGATAATCTTTCTGCACCTTTTAACAGGATCTGAGCTGCTCCAGCTAATGACTTCTTTTTTGAAATCAGCTGTAGAAACTGAGGATTCTAGTACCAAAACCAACAACAAGATACTTGCACTTTAATTCACAAAAGATTATTATTATTATTTATTATTAATAATTTAAATTAATATTTATTTCTTATTAGCAGAAACTAACTGACAGCAATTGATAAGTTGTTTTTGCTGGATGTCCAGTAATTTATTCAGAATTAGAACTACTTTCATACCACCATTATACAGTGGGAAATAGCATTTTGACTTAGAGCTTCAGCAATGAGTCTTCTGAAATTGGCCTGAACTCCCAATCCCAGCCTTACTCTGACCCTCAAAGCACTGCACTAGCACATCAAAAGGAACATTTTGATAAACTTTTTACTGATCACATGTGAACAAAAAATCCACTGGAATAAAATCATTAGCATCAAGCCACAAAAAGTGTTCAACTAGGTACAACATACTTGTTTTGGAGGAAGGGGATCCTGCCCGACTGGATCTAGAGTCATGAACTTTTTATCCTTCACAATGCTAAGAACGTCATACAACACACACATCTCGGTCAAGGCACTTCTTAAGTTATTCCTCACTGAATCCCAAGGCCAGAGGGATGGCTGGAACTTTACCAACCCTAAAAATAAAACAAAGGAAGGTAAAACAAAGGACTTTAAAAAGGTACGCGTAAGGCTGATTTTTGAACCACAGAGAGCTCATAACGGCACGACATACAGCACGACATGAAATCTGCTGCTGTACTTTCCCGCTGCAATTTACTGGGGCTGGGTCACAACATAGTGACCAACCCGTGGGGAAGGCAGGCCAGGCCCAACCTGCCGCGGAGCCTCAGGCCGGCACGGCCACAGCGCAGCGGCCGCCACCACCCGATCCCGGCGGGAGGGCTCGGCTCGGGCCCTTCTCACCTTCCTCATCCTCCGCCTCGCCCGGCTCGGCCCAGGGCCGGCCCGCCGAGCCCGGCTCGTCCTCCTCGGAGCCGGAGCCCTGGCTGAAGTCGATGCGCTGCGCCAGGCGCGCCAGGTTCTGGGACATGGAGAGCGGCTGGAGGTAGGTCTCGCTGCCATCCAGCCCCACCTCCTGCACCTGCTTCTCGCACGCCGACTCGATGCTGATGCGCACCACCGGCACGCCCGCCATCTTGGAGCGCCCCCCGCCCGCGCTCGGCAGGGGCGGGGCCAGCGCCGCTGGCTCGGCCGTTTCCGGAGGCGCTCGCGAGGGAACGGGACCAGCGCCGGGCGGGCTCGGCCATTTCCGGAGAGAGGTCGGAACGAGGCGGGGCCAGCCCGAGTGGGCTCGGCCATTTCCGGAGAGATGCCGGAACGAGGCGGGGCCAGCCCGAGTGGGCTCGGCTGCCTCCGGAGGCACTCGCGAGGAGGCGGGGCCGGCGCGGTGAGGGGACGGTGCCGAGCGAAGAAGATCGGACCTGCTGCCGGTTTCTTCTACGGTCTTATTTTTGACCAGAAGTTGGTTTCATGTCCCGTTTTAAACATAATTTCACCTCTAGCTCCCCATCGTCAGCTGTGGTCACGCAGGAAGCTCAACCGAACAAAAGGAAAACATACAGTAACGTTGCCATTAAGTTATCCTTTGAATATGGTCGCAACTCCAATGACACGTATGCTCCACGTTCTGCACTCTGACACAATTAAGAAGGCGGCAGCTAACTATTCCCATATTTATTCTTAAATCTGATCAGTGATAATAGAAAGCATTACAAAAATCAGCATTTGTACTTGAGGAAGATGAAATCGGCCCGCGGGGCTCAGTCTCTCCCGACCAGGTGCGTCTCCTGGGGCCTGTCGATGCGGAAGAGCAGCTCGGCGGGCTGGAAGTAGCCCAGGTACTGCACGCTGTCCGGGCTGGTGTCCTGGTGGTAGTGCCCTCCTTCCCCGTGGTGGCTGAAACAGTGCGTGTGCTCCACACGAAGATCGAAGCCCTGGCACCAGGCAGAGGCCCGGTTCATGGAAACAGCATGTAAAAGTCACACATCAACATGTTGATGGAAACAGCATGTAAAAGTCACACATCAACACGTTGATGGAAACAGCATGTAAAATCACAGGATATCTATCCTAATGCACATTTCCACACATCTCCAAACGTTATGCGTAGAAAGCTTGCAAGACGCTTGTGAAACCAAGAATTTGGAAAGCCTGACAGACTCCAGCCCACTGGGATTAAATAATGCAGTTACACCAAGGAACCCCTACTGGAAATCAAACTGAATTGCCACAGGCCCATGTGATAAATGAACTGTCTGCAGTTCTGAGAGCCAGCTTAGATGAATACAGGAAGAACAGGGAATGAAATAGCAACTAACATCTTAAACCATCAGATCAACACCACCAGTTTTATGTATCTTAGAATGGATTGGGTTCAAAGGGACCTTCACAGACCATCTATTCTAATCCCCTTGTCATGGGCCGGGACATCTTCCATTCAACCAGCTCGCTCAAAGTCCCATCTAACCTGGCCTTGAACAATTCCAGGGACGGAGGATCCATATCGCTGGGCAACCTGTTCCACTTTCTCTCCACACTTAGCCTAAAAATTTTCTTTCCACATAGCCAATCTAAATCTGTTCACTTTCAATTTAAAATCCTTGCCTCTTCTTTTGTCACTACATGTCCCGATAAAAAGTTTCTCTCCACCTTTTCTAAAAGCCTCCTTTAAGTCCTGGAAGGCTGCAATAAGGTCTTTCCAGAGCCTTTTCTTCTCCAGGCTGAACAACGTCAGCTCCCAGTCTTTCTTCATAGGAAGAGGTACTCCAGTCCTTGGCTCATTTTCATGGCCCTCCTTGGGCCCTGCTCTAACAGGTCCACATCTTTCTTGGGACCCCAAAGCCACATGCAGCACTCCAGGTGAAGTCTCATAAGGGAAAGAACCACCTGGCCACATCTAGTTTGACACAGCCCAGGACATGATTAGTTTCCTGGGCTGCAAGGGAATACTGGTGAATAGTGCTATGGCATTGGAATGCCATCGTCTGCTGCTCTTCTTGTAGTGACACTCAAACATTTCCAAAACCACGGGCCTACCCAAGTGCTGTTGAGCTTGCAGTGGATGTAGACAGGAGAAACCCAAAGGCATCCACCACACAAACTGCATTGGTTCCAAACGGAGCAGCTGCCAATGGCCGCTTTCAAAGGATGCATCAGTGGATTATGGGAAGATATGGTTTAGCCTTAGGCCAAAGGCTGCCACATAATGACACAATAAAATCACACCCTTCAACATATTTAAGCCTACAGTTATGTCCCACTTACCTCTGGAAAAATGTTTTTATATTACTTATTGACTGCATTGTTATTTATAAAATAATAATTTTCATCTATGGTTTTCTGGTTACTTTTAAACAAATAGTCTTCCTAATTATGAACACCTTAATGGTTTTTGAAACCAGATTGGCATTTATCCTGAATTGTTTGCTGTTGAACTTGGTGCTTGTGAAAGATGCTAGAGAAGTTTCCAGCATGAGGCTCTGCAGACTTTAATTTACATCAGCAAAAGGACATAGGCTTCATGTCTTTTGACACAGCATTAGCAGAGGGAGTTGTTATGAAAGTGAACTACATAAACAGGTGGCTGAACCACCTTCCATGCTCTTGACATTTCTCCCAGTGTGATCAGCAGTGAATGTAAACTGTACTGTTGGGTTTGGGATGCAAACACTCGCACACATGCAACAGAACCATGAAGTTAATCCACTATGAACAACCACTAGGTTTCAGAACAGATTCACCTAGCCTAAACTCAAATAATTCAAACAATTCACAGAAATGAGAAGCTTCTCAATCATTGCCCCAGCTCTGGAAGAGCTGAACACAATATATATATACACATTTCCATTCTTGAAAGGAAAATCACATCCAAGTCAAAATTCATTACAGGTCCCCGTCTATACTTAGAAAGGAGAAAAAGAGACTCACCGGATCTCTGGAAACTATTACTGGCTGACAAATCAGTGGAGCCTTCATTTCAAAGAATTTTAGCCAGTTATTCACATCCTCATCAGTATCCAGGGGACAGGCAGAAAATTCTGGAGGCTAGAACAAAAATAAAAACTTTTTAAGTAAAAGGAAGGCACTTGCATCAGGATACTTTTTCTCTAGCAACTTTGCTTTTTCACTCCCCATTATTTTGTTAATTTTCCTTATTGACTGAAAGAAGCTCACAGTGTCCATCACTCTGTTTCTGCTAGGAACAGAAGTGTCTGGAATATTGCATCTTTCATTACACAGGCAGTGGCACAGCTACTGAAGTGAGGATGCCCCTCCTCCGGGTACATTTTAGAAGCTCAGTTATTTTTTACAAAGTTTAATGCTTCTTATAAGTACCATCTGAGTTCGTGTATTTCATTTCAATGACTTTTACAATAGTTCTCAGTTCTTTAGCTGCACACAGATTTCAAAATATGATGGCGTTAATGCCAATTAAAACAGAATTACTAGTTTTGTAACACTGATTTTGTAATGTCAACTCCTTACTTTAATACAGTGCTCATCCTAATAGTTTATGCATACATTTAGAAATACAAAACAAAGTGAAGGAACTAAGATGTTACACCCTGCTTTATACTTCTGTTTTCAGGAGGACAAAGAGAGTTACAAGCACTGAGAACAACGTACCATAATGTGAATCTTTGCTTTCCCCTTCTGAATGATAAACGTACCACCCATCCCAACCGGCTTTTCTCCATAGTGTTTCTCTAAAGTTTGTCTCAGACAGGACACAAAGTTAAGCTCCCCAGTTCTTCCATTGGCTTTCACTTCAATGACCTGGAAGATAAAGTCAGTTTGTCACTGCCATGTCCTGCTGCAAGAGGCTGAAAAGGTCTGTGAAAGCTGTTCTGAAATTCTCCCAAGCTGATAACCCAAGATCACTTTTGGAAAAGATAAGCTTCCATGCAAGCACCGCTGCACTTGCATCTTTCCAGTATGTGACCAACTCTCTTTTCCTTAGTTCTGTTCAATGCTAGCTTTGCCTGTAAAGGGAGCTGGGCAGCAAGAAATTTACCTATACATGAGGCAGTGACTTGAGCTGTCCACCAGCTGGCTTCCACTGTGTCAGAAAGAAACACTGGGTAACAGAGAAGACTGTTCAGTTTCCATGCAACACTCAGGTTTTCGACTGTTCTGCCAGCACTGTGCTGACTGTGTCAGGAGAAACACTTGTGCAAAAATCTACCTAAGTGCCCACATTTCATTTACACGAGTACATTGCACTATTACCTTAAGTCACTGCTAGTTTGGATTGGATTTGGATGAATGATTTATGCTGGAAAAGTTTTTGTAAACTTATACCTATCCCTCATAAATTCAAATGCCTCTGTCTCCACTAATTCTTTCCCTCAATCGCTGGCATAAGTTCCTTATTTTTGCATGTTTCCCTTGTGGAATTACTACTTTACTATTATCACAGAACACTGATAGAAGAACCATGAATTTCCATTCAGTCACCAAGCACTGCAAAGTCACCGTAGGTGGAAGTACGTACCTTACCAGGTTGGCCCTCACTGGCATAAAGGTTGGCCAACAATCCAAACTCACAGTCAGTGTATTTACTGCTGTACTTCTCAAGCAGGCACCCTTTATCTGCAGGATTTATCTGAGCAATGTAGCTCCCATTTACAGCAGGCTTTTTTTCACTCTTAGTTTGAACAATAGGGATAAACTGGGAAAAAGAACATATCAGTCAAGTATAAGAATCAGCCAAATGAACTGAACTCACATAAATGTGATTTGGGCCATGATACCAAGAAAAAATCCACTTCATCACACAGCTCTGCCTATCAGGATGAGGTAAGAAAAATGTACTAATATTGTAATGTAATTGAAAGGTCCAGAAAACAGGTCTACTTTTTCTGAACCATTAATGTTATATAAAGATGAATGCTAGTGTTAAAGAAAACAAAAGAAAGAAAGAAAAAAAATATCTATAGTCTGCATGCAAGTATTGGAATTCTATGTAATACTCTCTCAGTGTACAGTAACAACCCATATAGTGGCCCAAATTTAATGCTGATATGGACTATCTCATCTGCCAATAAACCCATCAAAAGGAGACAGCAAGACCAAAGGTTTATGCCTGAAAAAACCTGTCAAGGTCTCCATAGGCAAGAATTTTTGTCTCCTACCCCTCCTGCAGTTTATAATTTTCTGTGTGGTATCTTTAAAATTCACAACAGTGAAACAAAGTCATCCAAGAGGGCAAAAGACAGGGAGTATTTCAAAGGCATTTGCCAGTATGTTTGAGAAGCATTTCTAAATCTCGGAATTAAAACCTCTAGTCAGGTCTTTGTCAATCAGTTCCAAAAACCATGTTTCTTGCATGCTTCAAGGTAATCACACGCTTCCTGAAGAATTACAAGTTAAAAATTAATCTTTATTTTCTCAGGAGTATGCACCTCAGTGGATGCCCCTCATCTCAATTCTTTCTAATGTGTTTTATGTGTTTGTGGTATGAAAGTGTTTATTAAAAACATTGCTGTAAATGGGGAATACCCAGCATTATACTCCTCTACTGTTACGATACTTCCATGAATTCATTGAGAACCATCACACTTACATACTGACCTCAGCATTTATTCCAAGAACTCTGGATGAAGCAGCTCCAGCTCCAAGAATGAAAGCTCCAGGCAGCTCTATGTCCTTTGCAACTGTATTTAGATCATAAACCTGCAGAAGAAAAACAATACTTCCATCCCTGGAAGTGCCCAAAGCTAGGCTGGATGGGGCCCTGAGCAACCTGACCTAGCGGGTGGTATCCCTGCTCACTGCAGGAGGGGTTGAAACTAGACTATCTCTAAGGTCTCTTCCAACCCAAACCATTCTATGATTTTGGTGTGGTGCTCTGACTTGCAATGGTCAGTCTGTTCACTGTAGTCCTGGAGGCATTTAATTCACAACACCCACCCTCATTAAATTCTTGATAATTAGGTTGAACATGGCTTCTGAATGCAACATAACATTTAGTAATAACAAATTTGGTAGATATCCATTTTTTTGCTTAAAGATAGATTCTACCTGTATGTTCCCTGCTCATTTTATTCAAAGACTGAATTATTGTTCTTATTAGATTTTGTGACATACAATACACATCAGAATCAGTCTCATTAAACACTAGAAAGTGTCTTTCACAAGTGTAGAATCCTAGTATCTAGATCCTAGTATCTCAGTCCTTAATTTTGTTTATTGCTTTTCTTTTGACAAACATATTAAACCCCACATCTACAGGGAAAAACTCACTTTTTCTTTCTGTACAATAGGTATGAGGTAAGGAACACCTCCCACATCTGCTATCCTAGGCTTTCCACAGATTCCTGGAAAAATACAGCCAGTTAGCTTGGTATTTTTTTTTTTTTCCCAATAGTCTTCAATAAGCACATGTTCTAAGCCGACAAAGAACTGGTTCCTCAAAGTTCTCAAACACTATTTCCCTAGCGTGCTTAGATAAAGTGTTGAACTTTATCTACCTGGACTATCAAGAATTCCAGGTTCTAAAATTATTTACAGTAGGATTTAATGCTACACAAGGTGCTGTAAAATAACATTCCCTAAGCACAAAAAAAGAATTGCCAGAGTGGACAACACCTTCCATTTGCCAGTTTTCCAGTAACACCCCCACCACACAGCAGAGAACTCTGCTTGGATTCCACTTGCAAAATTTTAGCAAAGCTGAAAGCTGTCTCAGGACAATTCATCCCACTTATTTGGATATGTATTTTAAAAGGGATGCATAACCTCCTGGAGGTGTTTCTTTCACATTGATGCCAGAGGAAACTCAGATGAGTAGCACAGATGACATTTCTGTCTTTCAGACAGCTAGTGTCAAACAAGATTCATCCCATTCAGAATAAGACAGTTTCACTTCACTGACATACATGAATGCCAGGAATTTAAAAATTAATGGAAGTACAATTAATTAGGTTCAGATAGTGATTGGCATGGTTCTAAAAAAATTTCTCCATATGAAAAATAACAATGTAAATTCAAAACATTTTCAGTACTTAAATAAAGCTCATGAAATAAGTAGGTATGAAATGATAATTTAAGAAAAAAAAAAAAAAGACAACTACTTAGTAATGACTTGTCCTTGTTCATACACAACTAGGAAGCAAACCCAGAAATGAAATGTAGCTCTCCTCTCATGCATATGCTCTATCTGAAAAACATTTTAAGCTCTCTCAACATCTTTAAAGGGTCAAAATTAAGCAGGATCATGCAGAAAGAACTGGAGAAGTTGTAGTGGAAGACAGGAATGCTAGGTTACCTTTAGCAGGAAAGTTGAAGGGTTCCTGAGTCAAATCAGGACAATCTACAACAGAGACTTGAGCATCTGCAAAGTTCTCTTTAAGCCCTTTCTGCAAAACTGTAATAAAGAATAATGGCAAAATTATCAACAATGAAAAAAGAGTCTGACAAGTTTCTAACAACAATAAACATACCTGTCTGAGCTTTATTTCTGCAAGATACATTACTTATGCTTACCCTAAGTAATTCCATTGATTTAAATCTCTGCAGGCACTTTTTATGTTACTCTGAGCTTCAGAGAGGAGCAAAAGTTTTTTCAGATAATTGTTTGCCTCATTAATTAATTTTAAGAATTGAAAAAACATTATTATTGAAATACACCAACTGACTTCCAATTAGCACTAGGAGCATCACAGCGTGAATTAACATGGGTACACTTCAATCACATTCAGCAGTGGGTTTGCTTCAAAGAGCAGACAATTATGATCACGGTCAAATTTGTTTCAAGAGCAAAGGAGGAAGCAAGATTTAGCTGAAGCAGCAATCAGTTCTTTACATACATTAATCAGACGGTTTGCAATTGCTTGATTATAATCTCAAACTGCCTCTGCTGGAAACCTGGAAATTTCTACCACCATGGGATACTGCCTATCATGTTTATGCTCTTGTGGAGATTTTCTGACAACTGCCACTGTCACAGCAAGACAGATAATGAATGGTGTTAGTGAAAAGGAACCAAATCTAAAATTTTTGGTTGGCTTCATAGCAATGTTTTTTAAGGCTCAGAACTTGCAAAGTCACTCAAACAACAGGGAGGATTAGATGAGTGCATTGCTTGGAAGCAGCTTTCAAACCTTTAGTGTGCGATTGTCTTCACATACACTGCTTCAAATACTATGTTGAAAGGTCCAGGTTCTTTCATACCTGGGGGTCTGCTTTGACAGGTGTCTCAAACTAAAGAACAGGACATTCAGTGTGTGATCTCAAATCAGGTGGTTCCTTATTTATGCAGAAGACTTTCTGTGCCTCTGTTTACTCCAGTTAGGGTTTCAGCCATACCTTACCTCTCAAGATCAGATTTACCAAGCTGTTGACCAAAAGCAGTAGCTAGTACTTGGTACATTTCTAAATACATCTCAGTACCTTCTGGCAAGTGGACAAGGACAGTAAAAGGGCACTCCTCAAATTATACCCCAAATCTGAATAATTCCCAGCAACACAATTCTCAGTTTACAGGAGATCCTCAGGACAGATGGGGAAAAAAGGGAAAATTCTGCTTTGTGATTAAACTTTTCTGATACTCTTTCAAGCTGTTCTACTGCAAGTACGTGGTGTTCTCTGAAGAGCTTAGAGGTCTACAGCAGCCCTGGCCTACTGCCCCCATCTGACGGTGAGAAAAGCACTGAGAACCACCCAGGGCACTGCTGAGACCACACGTTCTTAATACATGGAAATGTCACACTGACACAGATTTGGGAAAGTGGCAAACTGAACTTGAGGATCAATCTGAAAGCCAAAAATCTTCCGTATATCTGCTGCAGGGGAGAGACTTGCCAGAAGTCTTCCTACTAGGGCAAGAAAAGATCATGAGCATCTGAGACAAATCTGGGAGTCCCCTCCAACCTCAACCATTCTGTTATTCTGAGCAGATCTTGCAAAGGCTTTGGAAAGAAGTAAACTACAGAAGATGTCTCCTGCAGCCCTGTTCTAAGGCAATCACCAAAGGAGGAGCCAACTAGGTTCAAGCAAGAGGATCTGCCATACTACACTGCAGCTTGTCCTCTGCCATACTACACTGCATCTTGTCAGCTATGTTTTGAGCAGTCCTGAAAAAGAAAGAAATATTAGAGGATAGAGTAGGACAGATAATTCTGTAGGTGTAAAGAAGTTTGGTGTGTAGTGGTCAAACTTTCATGACCTGCACACAAATCTGCACATGCAGCAGTTTTAAAGGAATTGAGTTTGTGCATTAAATATCTTGGGCCCTTGGGGAGGACTCATTGTTTGCTCTAAGAAAATAATCTCATTATATAGAGAAATAGTGTTTTTTACCTCTCAGTGTGCTAAAAGCAGGAATTCTGCATTTCCTAGCTGTAGAAAGACTTTGGTATGAGTTTTAAGATAAGTTTGAAGAGTACATTACAAGTTTGTATAAAGTCACATGTTGCATTACTTACCCCCAGCAAGCTCCTCCAGACTTGGGACATGAAAAGCAAACCTTTCGACTTTGGCCATTTCCTGATCGGTGCTGATTTCTTCAGGTAAGAAGTTACAGTACAGCACACTGCAGAGAAACTGGTCTGCCAGCAAAGATAATAGTTTAACAATTTAAACATGCTCCTTTCAACATGTTAATTATTTTTCAATTTCACTCTAGAATACAGAGAAAAAATAGAACTTTAGTTCTACCATCAGAGGAGACGCTGACAGCTTCAATAGCAACGTTAAATTTCTTATGTCTTTTGGAAGAAGATGTGTCTGTCAGCCCTATAGCTGGCACAGAGCATTACACACACTAGTCCTCAAGCTGACAACTCGGTGTAAAGAAAACATATCCTATGCTGAATGCAGTTCAAGTGGTCAGGAGATTTGGGTGTCTTTTTGTAAGCCTGGAGTCACAATAAAGTTTTGAAAGAAACTTGAGCTTTTCTGAGCACATCAGCTGTCTCCTAAGGTCTTCCCAAATTTAAAAATGTTTACTTTTCCAGCACTGGCAATGGTGGACTTTCAACTGCAGCTGTGATTGGTCTCCAATTGATTCTGGGCATGTGTTTCCCCTTCCAGAGAGGAACAGACTAGCAGCAAAATAGAAATCAACAGCAGCAAGTTCTGCAGTGTCAGGCTCTGCAGCCATACAAAAAGTATGCTAAAAAAACTGTGTGTACTGTAACAAAAAGTTTTGAACATGACTTTAAGAGCCCCTTCAGAAATGAACTGCACTGCAGTCAGCCATGTAACAGCAAAGCCAGCTAGAAGGGCAAGCCACTAGGTCAGGGCAGAAACAACTGATTGCACACTACCTAAAAATCTGCTGCAGCAATCATTAACTCCTTAGGCACATACCACATACTTGCTACACACAGCAATAAAAAATAAAATGGGTTTCATTTACCCAATGTCAGGTGGAAGAAGGAAAAAGCCAAAATCCTAACTACATTTCTAGACCTGACTGATTCTTTGTTAGGAAGGACTATGGTGTAAGACAGCTGCTTACGTATATATTTAGCTTATGTTTTTAAAAAATTCTAACTTTTATGACTGTCAAAAAATGTAATTGTCCTTACACCATTAGGGAAAATGGGAAAAGGGAAAAAAATCCCACCAAACCAGTGGGAAAAAGAAAGAAAGGAGTGGGGAGATTGTAGCAGTCACTTAACTGAAATCTTTGAGCTCAATGCTCAGCCACCCCAAGTTAATGCGTAGCAAGCAGTAGAGAAGGGAAGAATGACTGCAACCTGTCTATAGTAATTCTCATCTTAGTTGGTCCTATCTATCTCCACAGTTGACTCCGTACCTCCTCTGGCTCTGGAAAGTAGCAGGCTGGATTTGGTGCCTCTGGTAGAAGCCTCATGTCAGGTGGACACAAGACTTTTAGTGTGCACCAAGAAAGGGAGTAATGTGAGAACATGGCTTTGGGAGCATTGTTTTAGACAATCCTCACCCCCTCAAGAACCTTTTGCCACATCCAGGAGGAGGGTGTGCCAGCGCTCAACACATTGGTTGTCCAAAAACAGTCTGAGAAGGCAAGCTAGAATTGCTGTTGTACAAAAGGCAGAGACAAGACTTGTACAATATCAGTATAAGTTAGCTCCCCACAATCAAGAAAGGAGGGAAACACTGTGGAAAAATTTGATGTACCATAATAAACCCAGTCTGATTGGTAGACAGTTGTTCTTACCAGGAAAGACACAAAAGGGTAGATCTGTGGCCCACCACTGCAAATATTCACAGGGGAGTGAATTGTGTGGTGTGGGGACAGAGAGAACCCAAAACAACAGCACACAATTAAGATCTATCAGAGGGTCGCAGTGACACTGAATTGCTACAGAAGACTTTCAAAGAAAGAACACAAATGCTAAAGGGATGATAAAATTGTTATAGATGTGGGATGGTGCAACTCGAATGGAGGCAACAAGTATGTAGAGACTTGAAAGTCTACCTTTGAAGTGGGAAGAAAACATTACAGAGAGTAGCTAGGTGCCAGGAGAATACAGATGACACGTGAACCATTAGATTGATTATATATGTGAAATGTCTATTGTCAAAACCTGAATTCAAATTAGCTTGGAGACTTAAAGCCAAAAAGGAGAGGTTATAGGCAGGTAGACACGAATCGGGGAGGGAGGTGGTGGGGGAAGAAATATCAGTGGAAAAAAATGAAATGAAGACGGCAGTTGTGAGAGAGAAATGTAGTGATGACACTAAGACATCCATAGAGGCAGAAGCGGTATTTCTATGCTGGGGCGGTGGGAGGAGATCCCGTACGGGGCAGAGGAAGGCTGCGGGGCAGCAGAAGCAGCTGTTCGAGTGGCTGGGATTTGGGGAATCACGGCAGGTGTGCTAGGCGAGGCTGGGGTCCGTAGGGACTGGGAGCACCCCGGCAGGCAAAGGCAGCGAAGAGTCCTGGAGCGAGGGAGCGCTAAAGCCGGCACAGCTGCGAGGGGAAGGAAGGGGCTGCTCAGGCTGGAACAGCCAGCTCGGAGGAGCCTGGGCAGCGCGGGGAAGGACAAGCAGCGCAGCAGGAACGGGAGCCTCTCACTGGGCGGGAAGCCGAGGGAAGCTGGCACCTGCCCGAGCTCTGCCACGCACCGACCGCCGCTATCCCCCGACCGCACGTACCTGCCCTGCCACCCGGGACTGGCACAGCAAGGCAAAGCAATGCAAGGCAAGACACGACACGGCTCGGCTCGGCTCCGCCCCCGGGCGCGGCCGCCCCGCTGCCACTCCCGGCATGGCGCCATCCTCCGCCCCGCCTCCTTCCCGCGGGCCCGCGCGGCTCTCGCGAGCTCCCGGCGCTACTTAAGGCGCGGGGCGGCCATTACTCTCTCTTTGCGGCGGGAGAGGTGGGTGTTGCCGCCGGCGGATCCGCCGCCATCCGCGCCGCGGGGGCCCGGCACCGGGGATGCCGGGGATGGAGGGACAGCCCGGGCGGTGTGGAGTCGTGCCCCGGGGACTGGGGCGTGTGGGGGCGGCCGGTGAGGGACCCTGCGGGAGCGGTGCCGGCGGGGTGTCCCCGGCCCGTGTGACTCGGTGCGTGCCCGCGTTTGAAAAGCCGGGCCCAGCGGGCAGCTGAGCCGGGCGAGCGGCGTGCTTGGTGCCTTTGGCAGGTTCTTCAGCGAGTTTAGATAGTTGTTTTTCTTCCCTAAGGGATCTGCGTGCTGTGCCGGCGCTCCAGGCCGGAGCTGTGGTAGAGACCTCGAGGGATACTGAGCTGCGACTTGTGAGTACTCGGCAGGGCCTGTGCGGTCAGAGGGGCATTGTCCTGCCTCTGGCCTTGGCTGGTTTTGTTTCTGGGCTTTGTGTTTGTTAGGCTGCGGGTGAGCAGTGTGCCTGCAAAGGCATCGTGAACCTAGCATACGAGTGCCTTTTCTTGTTTTGAGAGGCCCAAAATGATACACAGGATTTGTAGGTGTGGCCTCATCAGTGCTGAGTATAGCAGGACAATCCCTGCCCTGGTCCTGCTGGCCACACCATTGCTGATCCAGGCCAGGATGCCACTGGCCGCCTTTGCCACCTGGGCACACCCTGGGTCATATTGAGCTCCGGTTGACTAGCACCCCCAGGGTCTTCTCTCCTGTAACCCAAGTGGAGGATCCGGTACTTCGCCTTGTTGAACCTCAACTCAGTTGGCTTCAATCCATCAGTCCAGCCTGTGCAGACACCTCTGCAGAGCCTTCCTGCCCTCCAGCAGATCAGTATTCCCACCGAGCTTGGTGTCATTTGCAAACGGAATGAGGGTGCACTTAAAACTCTCGGGGCCCAGCCATCCATCCAGCTTTTCATGCAATGAACAGTGCACCCATCCAAGCCACGAGCAGCTAGTTCCTGCAGGAGAATGCTGTGAGAAATAGTGCCCAAAGTTTTACTAAAGTGCAGGTAGACAACAACCATAGTGTTTGCCTCATACACTGGTCATAGAAGATCATCAGGTGGAGGTGGGTCAGTTGAGACCTGCCTGTCCTAAATTCAAGCTGACTGGGCCTAATCCGTTGGTTGATGTGCCCTCAGGATCGTTTGCTGCAGGTTATGTGAGGACATTGGATGAGCTCTGCTCTAGTGTCTTCAGATGCTGAACTGTGTAATTGCATTTTATTTTTTATATTTATTGCATATTTATTTATTGAAATATTAATGGGTATGATGATGAGTTTGTGAAGCTCTTTAAAAGCACAGTAGAATTAAAAACATACAAGTCTACAGGGCTAGTAAATAACCGGTAAAATAACTAAGCTCATAGAGAGGAAAACCAGGTTCTTTTGCTGTATGTTACAGTCCCTTTTGTATAGACTTGGGGCACTGAAGAGCTGGACTGTGTTGTCTTGCATATTCAACTGAAAATTAACAGTTCCAGAGCTGGTCTCTATGATGATTGATAACCAGTGAGCAAATAGATAATAGATTTTTGAGAGCAGGAGATTTTAGGTATCTTGCAGCTCACAAAAGAACAGAAGGAAAATGGCATTGCTTCTCATGGTGACATGGTCTTGGATTAAAGTTTTTAAACCACAGTGAAGTAAATATCTATGTATAACTTAAAACTGCAATATCCTTACAAGTATGAGAATCCATTGGCTATTTGTATGTGTGCTTGTTTGGAGGAAAACTTAACCCTAGTAGGGAGAGGGTTAAAACATTAATCTCACTAAGTCTCTGGAGAATCTGTTGGACCGCTGATGTTTGCCTTCCTGTGGTCAAGAGCTGAACTAAAAGGACTCTTAAAATTTTTTCTGACTTCAGTTATGCTGTGAATATCTTTAGGTAAGTGGGTGTGACTTAAATGTTAGTATGCAGAATATAGCTGGTCATGGTTCATAGGAAAATACCTGCTCAAGTTTGCTCAAGATTGTTCTTTTAAGTTTACTCTGTGACCATAAGTGGAGTAAAGGTTGTTGTCTGATTAATGTAAATTTGTTTTAGTTTCTTGAATTCTCATTGCCTTTTAGGGCAAAAGTGAAACATGACTGATACTGATGAACCCCAGGCATCTGGCTCTGATTACTCTGATGTGCAAGAGCTGATGAGCCATCAGCCGCAGGAGCCATCTGAGGTGTACTCATGGCAAAGGAATACAGGAACAGAGCGGTCAAGGCAGAAGGTTGCTGCACCTGGGGAGTCTTCAGATCATCCTAACAGCATGTGTAGAACATCAGCAGCTTCAGCTGAGGTTTTACTGATCAGCAGTGATTCAGAAATGTGAGTTTTTATCTCTAGTTCAGAATTTTTCCCATGGAGAGCCTCTGTGATGTGTCATAAAACTGTACCTTCTTTTGAAAGTAAATACTTTATTCTTCTCCAGTGATGTCTCTGCTGCTGGTCCTGAGTGCTCCATTGCACCTTCAAAGCAGAAAAGGAGATCTCAATCTTCAAGGCAACAAGCTGACTCTGTTACAGAAGTAGCTGACAATGAAAGCTCCTCAGATTCTTCATTGTCTCCCCAAAGTCCAGGGAAATCATTAGAAGCTTCCAGGCAGCAGAAGTCAAAACTCAATTTGAAGGCCATTTTTGCCTATCACTTCAGGGGAAGGAAGTTCAAAGCAGCCGCACACCGAAAATACAAAATTTACACACCGAAGAACAAGAAGAAGAAAAAGTATGAGAGCACACAGATGCCCACAGGGAGGCCCCCACTGACAGCCTCACCTCAGGAACAAAAGAGGAGGCTTCTAGACAGAGGTTTTCAATTTCCTTTTGTTGAAAAACATTATGGGGAGAAACATATTCCCTTAAAGATGGTTCTTGGCTATGAGGCAAGTTCTCTGTTTTGTGGGATAAACATTTTCTTAGTCTAAAAATTGTGAATTGAAATGGGCTGTGTTGTGTTTCTACTAGAATAAGACAATGAAACATTTTTTACTTCTGCTAAACAGGACATTTGAGTTGCAAAATTAATATCTTTTAAAGCAAACACTGCAAGAATATATGTGGGTGTTGATAGAATGTTACAGTTCAGTTCATAATGTAAATGCTTTATAGTGGATTTTTAAGATCTTATCCGAGGTTTTTTTTTCTACAGCAGGCAGCTGCAAAGGGCTTTTTCAAGTATATTGAAGTGCTTAAATATGAAGAACATCTTAAAAAAGCTTTAAAAGCCGTTCAGGCCAGTGATGACTTGGAAAAAGAGTGTATGGTGTTACGGAAACACAAATACTTAGATGATGAAGGCCCCATTTCCCCTATTCAGGAGACAGAGTAAGTTCATCTTTACTTGCCCTTTTGTGCTTTACTATAATATAAACGTGTATGTATCAAGTTCAGTTGTTCTTTCCTTTTAACCTGTGAAAGCATTGTTTATTTTGGGAACAAAGCACTCTACCACTTGGGATTTTATATATTTGTAGATGATGACTTAAAAGTTTTCAGAGAAGGGAGTATTTTTAATTTGATGTGAAGCCTGATCATTGTTGATAGAAATTGAAACAAAGTATTTCATGAAATGCACTCCTCTAATGTTATCCCAAATAAAGTACAGTGTTCTAAGAATAAAGGATAATTTTTAATAACTTTTTACATTATTAAAACTGAAGTGTTACCTTTGGTCTTCAGCGTCAAGCAATTAGCTTAGTGCAATAAAAAGATCAGTAAATAAGCAAGAATACTTGCTGTTGTAAATATACTCATAACTTTTAGAAAGCCTAAAAGTCAGTGAGAGCTACAATGCTGTCTTTCGGTACTGTTCACTTAAGGGCTTGTAGTTTATGCATTGTAAGGGGCTATAAAAGTAGACAGTTTGATTTCATATTTTTATTTCAGTGATGATGAGGACAGCTTGAATTCTGATACTGAGGAGCAACTTGATGCCAGAGTAGTGGTAAGTAAGCACTCCTTATCTTCAGAAACACTGTAGCCTTTCTGTTCTGAAGTTGAAGAATTGGTAGATAATGTCTTCAGTATTTAATTTTTGAGCTTAAATCCAGAGTTAATTGTGACCTCTCTGATCTGTTAGTGCAGAAGGTTGATAGTCCACACTCTTCAGTGTAATGCTGAAATGTATAGAAATTCTGCAGTTCTCTGTAGAGTTCTTAAAATCTGCAAATTCACTTTTAAAATCTTACATAAGTATCTCAAAACTGGACTCGTTCCTACTACTTGTTCTGTCTTCCATTTTCTTAGGAGAACAGCTCTTTCATTCTAAGCAGTACAATTCCCAGTAAAAAAAAAGTCAAAGCCAGGAAGAAAACAAAATCATCTGAAGTGATTGAAATAGTGGATGATGAAGATGGTGCTGAAGAGAACTCAGTGCCTCTGCAAGGCTCCCCTCGGTGAACAGCAGATCGACCAATGAGGTGGCAGTGGTTGTTCTTCACATAGCTCTTCCATGGGCCTCTTTGGTTTAAAACATTGGTCTGGAGTCAGTGTTGAGCTCTCCACCCAGCTGCCTAGGCTCATTTGCCTTGCTGTGAGTATGTTGGGCTTGTGTCTGAGACAGTTATAAAAATAGAAAAACTTGTCCTCATGCTAAGCTTTTAAGTGTCTTCTGTGCTCTTCTGTCAAGAACACAGGATAGAAAAGTATGTGTATATAGAAAAGCATGCATACATCTGTATGCTCAAGTTAAAAGGGCAGTATAGATACCCTTCTTTCATAGCTGATTTCTTGGTGAGTGGTCCTTTAGAGATTGTTTTTCTGTCTTGGAGGTGCACGTTTAAAATACTTTAAAGGGTTGAAGAAAGAATTAAAGCTTAATGCAAGTCTAGTGCTGATCATAAAAAGGCAGAAGTGGTTGGTCAATTTTGACAAAAGTCTATTGAAAAAATACGGTTAATGCATTTGAATGATGTGTTCTATTCCATGTGGAATAACCTCTCAGAAAACTAATTCTCTGCTCCTTAATCCAGCACAAAAATCGGAAGTTGTAAGTTATTGTAAAAGTAACTGTAGCAATATAGTGAACCTTGGGATAAAAACTACTTTTTCCCTCTTCCTCCTCTGTCTAGAATGGCTTCTGATGTGAATATGACTTAGCAGAAGCTAAAAGCTCTTAATTTATTAACAGTTCTTACCAAGCACTGCCCCTGCTGCAAATACCTTTCTCAAAGGCGTTTTAGTCAGTGGGAAATATTGGCTAGTGTTTAGAAAGTAATCTGAATATCACTGACTCCTCCTGCAGCAGTTCTGGTAGCTGAAGTAATAAATGTTTAAAATGCTCACTTGTGAATCAGGAAGATTTAAAAACCAGTCACCTCACAGCCTCACTTGGGTAGTGTTAACCAAATTGCTGTCTACAGCTGACTGACAGCTGTTCAGCAGGTAAAAGTACTCTGCTGAACCAAGTGTGTTATCAGAAAAAGACTTTGCCTGCTGGTTAAATTTCCTTCAAATTAAACTGGCAGTCTGAGATTGGCAGTATTAATTTACATGCTTGAGTTAGGGTCCCAAACCTTTGCAAAGGAAGTTTCCCAAATGCAGCTTGATTTCTCTAGGACTGCAGAAATTACTCCTTAGCATTTACTGATCACAACTAAAACTGGTCCAGAATTAATAGCTAAATGTAACTATTTTAGTTGTGTCCTTGAGAAATGCTTAATGGCTTGAAAGACTCATCCTGGATCAGGGAGTGGGGTTCTTGGTAGGTCATAGGGATATGTGGAGTCGTGTTCATTCTGCAGTTCATGTGATGAATTTTGCTATTCAGCTGCTGAAATTAACTAAATTCAGTTCTTATTAGAACTGGATAAATATATACATAAAAGTCAAGGTTATTACAGCTGTTAAATTCATGGTTAAAATCTAGCTTTGACTTCAGTAATCATTGGGGTTTTGACTATATATGAGAGTTTTTATCACTTTGCTTTTCTTTCCCTTTTAGTTTATGTTGCTTTTGGAAGATGGAATACCTCTTGGCTTTCTTGCTGCATAAGGTAAGGTGTTACTTGAGTTTCAGTTTTGCTTCCTTCAGGTAACCCTTTTTGCATTATTGCACAAAAGGTTTTGAAAAAGCAGTGCTCCATAGTTAAAATAAATATGTTATAGTGCTCCACAGCTGAGCAGCTTGTGAGTGTGAAGCTTCCCAAGTACAAGTTCAGTGCTACATAACCTTTCATCAGTCGGACCAAAATTAGAGTCTGTAGCCTCTCTTTGAACAAATACTTCTTGAATACTTCAAAGTGCGAATAAACAGAAGTTTGACCTGCTGTCAAATGCTGCAACTTTATCTGATTTGGTTGGACAACACTGTCTGGAATTTCTCTGCTGAAGATGTTAAGAACTACCTTCCCTTCAGTGTCTTCATGGTGGCTCACCCACACTTTCTGTACCAGGGTGTATCAACAGCTGCAGCTTCTGGTGGCTTCCCTGTGGTAAAATTCCATCTTAATTCATATTGCTTGCAAGAACAGGAGGAGCAGCTGGTAGTCTTGCATGTACATGGCTGTGAAAGCTTCTTACTGCCTGGATGTTGCCAAGCTTGGGACAGTGTAGGAAATAGCATGGAAGAAAGCACCGTGTAAGGATACAGCATAGGAAAATCCCTTTTATGTGGGAAACACTGAGCTGAGGGTGGGCAAGTAGTGAAACCTTACAAGAAGATTCTTGAGTGAGAGGATAGGAACAGATATCTTCCTTGGTGTTGCTGTAGGTAGAGAGCTGCAATAGGAAGCACATCAGGTTGGCACAGCGTAGCTTGTTCTGAGCTCCTTACCACAATTACCTTGGTTCAAGCTACGTGTCTCAAGGACTGGAAAGGGTGGTAACTATCAGCTTCTACTGCTAACAGCAAGTATAGTCAGTTGGGAAGTAGGTTCAAATGCTGTTTCAAAAATAGTAAAAAAAAACAAATGTGTTCAGTCTGTTCCAGCACTTGATCAGGTTTTGTCTTTTGCTGTAGGCAAAAACCTGGAACCTAGTGCTTAGAAAAACCCCTTCTTTTGCAACCCACAGCTGATTAATGTATTAGTTGTGTTACTTATATGAAGGGACAATATTTGCATGGGCTCAAATAGCATTCATCCATTCAAATACTGATCAATCTAGAATTTTCTGAATTTTCAGAAGTGTAGTTTGGTTTTATCTTTCTTTGCAGATGAGCACAGTCACACTACAGCAGTTTTAACTACTTGGGGATCTCTTGAATTCTTATGATTGTTGCTGACCTGATTCATAAATCCTGTAGCCTCTGTGCGACATGGTAGCAAAAGAGGTGAGCTTTGTGTTTTCTTCTCAGCTTCAGCGTAGAGCTTCTTTTGTTCAGTGCTATTCCCACAGCACATAATCAGACTGATTTGTGCACTGTATGGTATCTGCACCCAGCAGTATCTTCCTGATAGGGTGTTCAAAAAGCAGTGCTACAGTATTTCAACAGCTGGCATCGTTGGTTTTCATGCAGATGTGCTGGTTAAACTTGGTATTTCTGTTGAAACAAGTATATTTAGTGTTTATTAGTGGGAAGGTTTTCAAATTGAACATCAAAAAACTGTTAAGCTGTTACAGGATAAAAGTACAGTTAAACTAGTGACATTGTTCCAAAATATTTTTTCTTAAAAGGACATTCCTGTGATGTGTGGAACAGATTGGAAAGCCTCTACTCAGGTGTAAGTATTGAGGAAACAGTCATGTTTTTTCCTAGGTGGAGGTAGTTGTATGACAATAAAAGCTCAAATCTTAACTTCTTGGCTGCCTTTTGACACTAAAAAGAAGTATTCTATTTTGAAACAAAAATCCCGAGTTCCAGATGACCACTAGGGAAGGTTTCTTTCCAAGTTACCTGGCTAGGTTTAAAAACCAGACTATTCTAAAGACATTGTGGAGTTTTTATGCCCCGTTCTTCAGCAACTAGACACAAGCTGCAGTGTGTCTGAATTGGAAAACGTGGCTAGAAGAGTAACAGGTTCTGCTTTTCTCGCTGTACACTTAATTACAGTGGTGACAATGAGACCTGTAACAAGTTCATTTAGTGGGACAAGTCTGCAAACATACTTAAAAATCCAGCTACTATGAAATCTAAGCATAAATGTGAGTTGATGTGCCTCAATTCTGCATCCTGTGTACTAAAAGAAGTAGAATTAGCAGGTAGAGGAAAAATACTTGGAAGTGCTGAATTCCTGTAGATGGTTTATTAAAAGCATATTTTTAAGTTGTCTTACAATGGTCTCTTCCATGCTTTCTTTGTGAGGTAATGCCCTTAGTTTCACCTTCTGTGCAATAGTGCTCCAGTTTCTTCAACTGCAGATAGACCTTGTTGGTAGTTGTGTGCTAAACTGGGCTGTGGTTTGATTGCAGATAAAATACTTTGTCATCAGCATTCAGCCAGTGTAACTGGACTACTGTCTTCCTGGCTTCATATTGAGATAAAAGCACCCAAGTCTTGATGAAGTGCTAAAATACTGAAGAAACTTGAAAGTATTACTAAGATGCAGCAATTTATTTTATTTTAGGAGGTGGACCTGAAGTCCCGTCTGAGCTAGCATCTTGGTAAGTTTAAGTGACTTTTTTTTACCCATGCCTGTTTCAGGTCAGCCACCTGTCTTTAACTTAGTGAACTGGTTATACTGTTGCTCCTCTCTTACTGAAAGAGTGCAGTGTTGTTTCAGAAAACATAAGAGTTTATTTTCCCCAAACTTAAAAATGCTGTGAGAAAATTGTTGTGATGATTGGCAAAATGTTCAACTGCTCTGAAGAGAGTGAGTGAGAAGAGCCTTTCTGAACAAATCTGCTTAGTCCTCCTGTTGTAGGTTCTGCTGTTTTCTATGCTGGTCTGTAACTTTACTTGTTCTTTTCTGGTGGCAGGTACTTAGAGAAAGTGAAGGAAGAAGTGCAGGCTGCCATTTCACAGAAGTCTGAAGCTGCTTCAAGGGTTAGTGTGACATCTGAAGTTCTGCCTGTACCTTAAAGACAGAGGGGCTGGGTAGAGGGGTTGTCAGTAGCCCAGAAGTCTCTCAGACTAAGCTTACAAATTTGTGAAGGTTTCAGGGGCTGTTTTCAACATTACACTACTATATCTAAATGGATTGTTCATACTGTTAAAGGAAGACTTTATTGTAACTTGAGTTTGCCCAAGGAATGTTCATATGAATTCCACAGTCAAAAATGAGGTGAACAGGTTAACTGCTTAAACTGATAGTTAAGTTACATGTAATGGGAAATCTCCAGGGAGGATTCTGCAGAGTTCTGTAGATAATTCCTGTTGATGTTTCCTCCTCGGGTTAACTTAACTTGTAATTAAAAACTTGCTAATATGAAGGAGGTGCTAGTGTATCATTTACCCTCTTCCTTCCCATAAATGTCTTAAAACAACATAAAAATGACACTTACTGGGATCTGTACGAGATACCTTTACAGTCTGCTTGATTTTTATTTATCTCTTGTGTTAATTTATAGTACCAGAAATGTTGAGGTCTATCCCGATGGGATCTTTTCTGTAGGTTCGTGTCGTTGGAAACGCCTCACAGAGTAAACTTGTAGTTTGGCTTTACCCACTTAACTACCTGTTAGCTCTGTGGGATAAAACTGCAAGACAAATCTTAGAGTAGAGTCAGAGGAATGCAGGATGCCCATTGTTCTACTTCAGGTGTACTGAAGTATGCTTTTGGAATACAAAAGAAAAATAGATTCAAGTGGAGAGGCTTGGTTGTAGTAAAAAGTGTGTGTGTTCTGGGACTTCAGGTGCAACTGACATTCTGAATGACATGGGCTTAGTCTCTTTCCCCAGGTTTTTGTGTAGGCACCTGACTAGTTAACACAGTTGTTTTGGTGCTTGCTTTCTGGATGGGATGAAACAGTCTATTCCCCCCTTTAATCATGCAGGAGTGATTATTGTTTTTTGTTTCAGTGGATATAGGTAAGAAGAGAAGCACTGTAATGTCTGTTATGAAGTAACTTCTTAAACTGACTGCATTTTTGTTTTGTATTGAGGGATACTCCACAGTTTCATACTGAGCAGCAATATTTGGTCAATTTCTTCAAGTATGGGGTTTAAAGAGTTAATTGCTGAGCAGCTCAGCCAGTTTACTGCTATACTGTTGAAATTGTTTTGTAGAACAAAGAGTTCAAAGTAAAAGAAGCAAAGTACTCTGTAAATAAATCTAAACATAGGAGAATACAGAAGCTGCTGTTCATGTTAGTCTGTTCTTGATCTCAGCTGCATGGCAGTTTTGTGAGGAGTACCTCTTACTCCCTGACACCCACTGATGCATGCAAGAAGCTCAAATGTAAAATGAGCTGTTGTGGTGGAAGGTCTGTGCACCCAGCAGACTTCTCCTGGTGGGATGTTCAAAAAGTAGTGCTACACCAGTGCAGCACTTGGTATCCTTGGTTTTCAATCTGCTGTGTCTGTTAAACCTGGTATTTTTGCTGAAACAGTCTTTAACGTCTTCGGGGATTTCAGTGTACTTACCTATTTTCATGTAACAAATGAAAATAGATGTTTCCATCTGTCTTCATTTTGATTCTTGTGTAAAAACTGGCTACTGGTCCTGGAACTTAGCAAGTGCATTCAATTCTTTCTAACAGGTGCTTGAGGATACAGAACAGAGTGAACTGCCCTGAATTAAAAAGATGGAAGGATCTTATTTGGCAGGTAAGCACTCAGTTATTAGTTCCATGTAATTTCACAGTTTGTGTATTAGCTTTGTATGACTAAATATAGGAGCTACTAAACTGTTGTAGAACTAAGTGTAGAAATGGTTGTGTAGTACCAGAGATTTCTGGGTAGTGATTACTGCAGATCTTGGCAGCATCAGAGCAGATCGCTCACCTGTGAGTCATTACATACTTCAAATTGCTGTCACACTTGTGCAGCCATTTGTGGTACTGGTGTCTAAATTACTCTGCTGTTGGTTGTGAAGAATTCCTCAGGACTTGGAGTTTGTGCCACACTTCAGGCTTGTTCACAACTTGGGCTATGTAATGGCAGGATTGATTGTACTTCACTGGAAAAGATGGGCAGCTGGTTATTGAGTGAAGTCCTGTAAGAGCAGTGAGGAGTATCTGGTCATTACCAAGGCTGCTGGGATGTTACTGTTTCTGGTGAGCTGTGGACATGACCATAAAGCAAATCCACCAGACTCCTGTGTTGCCACATGATGTGTGGCACCAAGTCTGCTGGGCATAAAGCTTTAACATAGGTCAAGGACACAATACTCCCTTCTGCTGTTGAACGCAAGCTCCTCCTGAGTTCTAGGGATAAGGCTTGTAGGGATGTATCCTTGGGCACCTTCAACACTTCAACTGCAGGGGAACAGAAGTTCCCATTGGGAGACGTAGATTGGATCCCAGAGCTGCTGCTGAGAGGTTGATTCTTTGGAACAAAAGCAAAAACCATAGGCTGTTTTCATGCAATTTACACCCAAGGTGCACTTTTCCCCTGTAGTAACCAAACCTGACTCTTTTAACTCTAGGTCTGCCACCAAGTTGCTGCATGTCAGAGGGATGAAAAACACCATGTGGGAGCTACCAAAGTGAGTGTGAAGGTAAGTGCATTTACCAAAAAGGCTGATACTGTAAAGAGATTGAAGGTCACTTCAAAGAGGGTTTGCGTGGCTGAAAAACCAGCAGCTCTTAACGCGGTGACCGCATATTGAAATCCTCTGCAGGATGCCGTGGACACTCTGTGTGTGCTATGGTCTATTTGTGAGGAGATAACACCTCGTGTTAGGCCTCCTGGGCTGGAAAAGGGCCTTACCCTGCTTCCTTTGGGGCTTGTTGATGCTGATGTAGAGGCTACTCAGTTCCATTCTGAAGCAATAACTCGTAGCATGGGGCATTAGGGAACAGGGTTGCTTCAGTTGTGGTTTGAGCTGCCTTGCAGTCCAGTTGCCGTTTGTGTGTCAAGAAAAGGTGAATGGAGCTCAGGAAAGGTCTGGAACACAAATTTGATGAGGAGCAGCTAAGGGAGGTGGGAGTCTTTAGCCTGGAGAAAAGGTGGCACAGGGAGAGCCTTCTGCAACTACCTCCAAAGGAGCTTGTAGTGAGGTGGAGGTTGGTTTGCCACTTAACAATGAGAGGAGATGACCTCAAGTTGTGCCAGGATGGGTTTAGATTGGATGTTAGAAAAGTTGCTTTTATTTGGATTGAAAATACTAAATAAATATTTTTCCTCCCACAGATCCTGGAGATGTTGCTTCAAGCCTGCTGTAAAGAACTGCACAGCTGTTACAAAGACTCTTCTCTAGAGTTTTTATTGCAGTTTTTGGAATTAAACATTTATTTCAATTTGTTACTGCTTTGTAAACTGTAGTAGTGCATGTTGCAACTTGCCTCTTGGCCTCCCTCGGAGCTGCGGTGAAGGTGCTTGTTCAGTGTTAAAGAAGGCTCAAGCTAAACTGAGAGCTTTATCAGGTCTTCTCCCTCACTTCCCTGTCTCTGAACTGAACTGTACCAAAGCCCTGGACAGGTGTTTATTCTGTACAAAATATCACAGCTCTGGGCTGCAGCCTGGGGTTATTCCCTGGTGCTGCACTGAAATGCCAATAAGAGGTTGAGGAAATTATGGCAGCTGATCAATCACCTGTGAGTTGCTGGTAGCAGAATGCAGGCTTGGTCTCTTCCCTTGATACTCTTGATAAACAAGAACTGATGTGTGTGAGCCTCAGCAGTACTTGCAGAATTGCCATGGTGAAGTTGAGACTCCCCAGGCTCTACTGATAATCGCAGAATTACGAACAGCCTCCACCTGACTCCATGGAGTTCACCAGCTGGTTCTGGCTTATGGTTCACTGCTGCAGTACATGCAACTGCACCAGACTGAAAGAAATGGGTGAAAAGAAGTGTAGAGTTAATTGATCAAAAACCTGCTTTCTTAGAGCTCCTTTGGAGCAGATTTAGAGGAGGCTGCAAAAATGAGTACAGAGCTGGAGCACTTGTGAAAAGGCTCAGAGCTGGGGTTCATCTTGGAGCAGAGAAGGCTCCAGGGAGATCTTCATAGAGCTTTAAGCATTCCAGGGGCATTGGACCAGAGGACCTTTAAAGGTCTCTTCCCCACCCCCAACTACTCAGTTACTTGCTGTGGTGCATTTTAACCAGAATGGGCATTAAGGAAAAGCCCTTGGTACTGCACCTGTTAATAACTTAAGTTTACAGCTAAAGCTGAGCTTTGGATTTGTCCTCAAGATGTGCTTAGCTCAGAAAACTGGAATGGAAAACATGTCTTTGGAAGAAGTAAGATTTTTAATTCTCCCATTCAAGTGCTTTAAGATTTACTTTGTGATTGCAGGAAACCATACTCTTAAATCACATGTGCAAAAAACAGATTAAAAACTGCAGCTTTACAGAAGAAAAGTCCTGTCACCAGAGGATTCAAATAACCTTAAAACTTTATTTGAAAATGTTTTATACATGTATATTACAAAACTTGGTATTTCTTTAAAATATTAACATACAGGCCTTTCAGGCCAGTAGCTCAGTCTGAGACAAACAATGAAGAAAGCACCACAGGCCATCTGCTTGGTGAGCTCTGAACAGGGACCACAGGGGTTTGGGGTACTCAGCTTAAAGCTGAGGATTCCTAAATGGCTTCACAGTTCACCATTGAGGCTGTACCACTCAGTGGCCTGGATTGTACCACCACCACCGTGTGTCTTTGTTGCTCAAAGTCTTTGCCTGTCATAGTGCTTTCCAAGTCTTCTTGGCTCGCAGTTTCTCCAGCATTTTCTGCAAATAAAACAAATCATGAGACCACAATACTGAAGCTGAAATGTCTGCCCTAAAGCCAGCATGCCCAGGGTACTGTGCCTGTAACCAAAACATCAGGAATGGGCAGTGCCTCCTTTGTTCCAAAAAGGCCACAGATTACAGGGCAAGGGGGGGGGGGGGGGGGACAGTGTGCTTGTTCCTCTTCTGTTATCATGGGATCTGTAAAGCAATGTAACGAGCAGCCACTCATGCCATAAAGCAGGTGAGCTGGCCAGGGCTAAAGGCAGGAATTGGCTCTGGATTCTCCCACACTAGTCGCAGCTTGTTAGGATTATCCATCGTTTCCTTTCAGTTGACTGGGGTGCAGCAGGGGAAAGGGAATTGACAAGCCCAAGGCCTCTTGTTCAACCCTGTTCCATAACTGCCATCAAAACGCTGGCAGCATCTTACACCTTTCAAGATTAGGCATGCCCAGAATCCTACCCTACCTGGAGTAGCCAAAGCAGCCCAAAAAAACCCCACCAAACCCAGAATGCTGCCTTAAAATGGGTATTTGGTCAAGTCTGGACCAAGGCTGCTATTCTTTTGCTACAGGCTTTCCAGCAGTTGGAGCCTTTTTGCTCAAGCTCAGGTCATAAAACAATTCAGCCTGAGGCAGACACGCTTTTTAGAGAAAACTTGAGCTAAGTTGTTGACAAGAAAATTCCTACATAGGCTGTACCAATGGCATCACTCAACATCCAGACTGGTTTGAGGGTCTCCATTTCCACTCCATTCATACATCTCAATTACTCTGACTGGAAGCTCAGTGAAATCAAGAGTCGAAAGAGCAAGAGGACATGTAGCAAACTATCATCACCTTTTGAAACTCTTTAGCCTTTTCTCTGTTCTTAGCATAAGTTTGTTGCCTTCTTTTTTCTTCATTTCTGATTTTTACTTCTGCGAGCTGATTATAAAGTCTGTGAAAACAGGAAAAAAAAAAAAAGTCAGTGTCTGGGCAGGAAGGAAGTGGTAAAGATGGAGTAGGTTAACAAGCTTAAGGTTTTGCCCTGGGTCAGTTGCCAGCAACTGGGACAATTTGACTGCACTGTCCAGTAATCCAGAATCACTTCAAATTCTTCAGCTGCATCAAACAAACCCTCTCCCTGTTCAGAGCTGCACTTGTTGCCTGTTTCTGCTCCTAAGCGCCCAAGTGCAACTGTGAACTTGGCATCAAATTTCATCCCATTTCATCCCAGGTGGCACAGCTGCCTCAGCAGGGTGACACCAGCAGAGTGGCCCTCCTCAGTGCCACCTCTGCAACAGCATTTCCCAGCAGGTACCTGCATCAAACACCCCTGGCTCCTCTCCCACCTCTTCAATGTTAAGCAGCATTGGGTCCAGCTGGGAAAGCAGACTGGGCAGCAGCTTTCACAAAACACAGATTAATTAAAAAAAAAAAACAAACAGTTAAACTTCTCCTACTTGTGTTCATGCAATACCTGGATGTACGCTGGTGCATTTCAATTTCTCCAGACTTCCTATCCTCTGGAGAACATACTTTCACTTCTACTTTTTTCAACTGATTGGCAAGTGCACCATTTTTTCCTAAGAGAAAAAAAGAAGCCAAACATACCCTAAATTCAAATTTCTAGTTCAGCTAACTCAAAGGCATGAGAAATTTCCAAAGATTTTTAAATAAATCCCCCCAGTCTCACTTTTGAGGCTGCTGCCTGTGCTTTATGCCATCCATGGCTCTCCACAGCCAACCTCAAAGTCCCCAGGACCAGGTGCTAGTGATGCACCAGTTTGCTAAATGTGGCTGTTGTGTGATAAGCAGCTGTTGTTTGCAGAGGCACCTTATGATGGTAAGGTGGGCTGATTGTGAAAGATGAAGAGCCCCCATAAGGGCTTTTACAACACTGAACAGGCAGCCAGACAGTGGGGGTAAACAAAGCTCCCTGATTCCCTGAGAAAACATATTAAAAAATATCCCAGTTTGCAACAGCAAACATGTAGCAAATATAAAATCTATTCTTTGATATAAACAGCTATTGGAAGGGATACCTAATGGTGTGTCTTGCCCCAAGATAAACCTACCAGAGAGAAGATCAGACTTCTTCTGTCTGCTTCTTAGATTCTCAGACTTCCCTCCTTGAAGCTTTCTTGCTTCCAGCTTTTCATTTTCTCTTTCCTTATTTTTTATTGCTTCTACTCTTTTCAGAGATTCCTGGATGAAATTCTGCTTTCTTTTTAAAAAAGATTTTTGTAAACTTCCAGGTGTAGCTGCAAATTCCAGCAGCATCACTGTGAAAGAAAAGGGAAAGTCTCCACATCTTTCAGTTTTAACAATGAGCAGTAAGTCATGAAGTTCAAGGTACTTCTAAAATGCTGAGCTTAAGCATGTTCATAAATGGCACAAGGAGAATGGCACTGAATGATGAAGCATCGTGCAGAACCAGCAGCACTTCAGATCTATGGAATCCAGTAAAGGTCAGCAGGTCTGCCCAGACTAATGCTGTGAGAAATACTGCCTGAAAAGCATCTGGATGCATCAAAACATATTGTTAGGAAGACCTAACAAGTCCCCAACACAATTAAGGTCTGTGAATTCCTGACCTTCACATTACTACAGTTCATCTTGGACAAAAAAAAAGTCAGTATTTTACTACTGTTCCAGACTACCATCAGAATAGGAAAAAGGACAATTCTTTAGCTACAGCACTTGGGGGACTAACAAAAAATGAGAAATAAACAAAGGTACATGAATTATGACAACAAATCAGAAAATGGCACATATTTTTTTAAAAATTAAGTCATTACAAAATGAAACAAGTGTAGTGGTAGAGATTCTGAAGTTTCATGAGAAAGAACCTGGTCCAGGAAGAGACTAGTGCATGTGACACACACTAAACCTCAGTCAAAGGTACTACAGACCAAGCCTGAACAGCAGGATGCACTCGCCTAAGTAAAAGCAGCTCTAGGTTTTCCAAATGAGAGGTGTATTTTGTTGATAATTTTAATACTAAAAAAATACTTTCAACTTCAGTGTACTGAAGTACCACATAATTACCTGCAGTCTGATGTGACGGACAGTGACTCTCGTTGGGACTCTGGGCTTTGGGAGAACTGTCAGGCCTTTGGAATGCTGAATAATCTGCATCTGGAGCTAGTGGGAAAAATTCTCTCTCCTGTTTCAAAAGGATCAGTGATTGGATTGGAAATGCTTAACACACATGACAAATTCCAGTGAAGCAGTACTACTGTACCAGTAACATGGACCCAATACAAATAAAAGACATGCTTTCGTCTTTATGCCTGATGCAAAGAAAAATCAGAAATGAATTTTGGTAATAGGTATGAAAAAGCTGTTTTCTAAAAACATTTTAAAACTTAAAAAGACAAACAACAACAAAAAAATACAAACAAAACACAAAAAAAAAATCCCCCAAAAACCCAAAATCTCAAAAAAACCCAAAAAAATATCCATTAAAGCCTTTTGCCCATCAGATTTCAATTGTATGCTCTTAATACAGGTCTGCAAATCCAATTTCTTTTCCTTTCCTCCTGCTCTCTCCAGTTCTCCCCTTCACTCTCTTCCTGCTCTTTTCCTCCCTTTTCCCAGAGGCAGGTAACATCCACTGCAGCAATACAGCCTCCAGCTGCCAACCTCCACCTCACCCATGTATCAACTACTTGATAAAAATCCATCCTTAGACACTTTCAGGAACTCTCTAGATGGCTCTTGAAATTAGTGCATGATTTAATCTAATCTGTTCATCTAACAAACACAGATTACTTGGTTCTACATCAGGGCTCCAGCACGCAAACTATGGTCTCATTACATCCCAGCCCCTCTGCAGTTTACAACAGCCTTTGCTTTACATAAGCAAGCATCCAAAAGAACACAGGTTAATTAAGTGTGGCAGTTATGAAGAGCTGATTCATTTTCCCCATAAACCTCTAACTGCTGTGGCACTCTGGTATGGCTCCATCCTCACAAGGTGAGGGGGTTCTCCTTTTTTTCCTGTCTAGTCTGTAGTTTTCATTTTATTCCACACTCCTTTCATTCAGTTTTCAACTAATAAAATGCAATCCAGTCTTGCAAACACCAGCAAGGTGGTTTTGTTTTTTGCAGCAAGTCTTCCCAAACTCTTATCTAGATCAATATGACATGTGATTCGAAGGAATACCTCAAATCTAGGATCTTTTTGATCTGTCTGGAAAACACAACATCAAACCAAGATGATCCAAAGCAATTACAAAGCTTGGAGAACCCAACAACCTCTTGTTTTTCAACTGTGGATGAACTGCTACAGTGGGGCCTCTCCTTATGGTAAATAATACTAAGTTCAAACCAGAATCACATTACATAATGCTCACCTCAGTATAAACATTACATTCAGATTGATCCACACATGCTGAGTTATCCATTGCATCCTCCTTAGTTTTCTCTTGGTTAGGATGTTCAATGTCTAATTCTACAATACTGGTGTCATTGGAGCTTATCAGGGTGAGCTCTGGTTCTTCCATAATACCTTGCCCTGACTCAGTCTCCTACAAAATAAATTAATCAAGACATTAATAAGGAAAAAAAGTAAAAAACCAGTATTTTCAGCAATAGCAACAACTGTTGTCAGAAAAAGGAAGCTCATTTAACATATAGAAAAAAGAAAACTTGCCCCAAGCAGTAAACGAAATACAGAAAGAATATTTGTATATGAGAATTAAAAAAAATGGAACAAATAACCCAAAGAAACCAAACAACTACAAAAAATCCCCCTCTCCACAAGTTTAAGTTCTTAGCTCTAGGGCAAACTTATTTTTTTAAAGCTACATCAACACTACTTTGTTAAGTTTGATTATGCTTTGGTTAATTTATTTACCTCCTTCAGGCTTCTAAATGGAGCCAGGGGCTGTTCAGTGAGGCACCCATGCCATGTAACCCAGCTGCATGAACATTATCACTTGGTGCTAAGAGAAGGAGATGCAGTAGGCATGCTACAGCTCCTCCAACCATTGTGAGAACTCAGTTCAGTTAAAATACTGTTTATTATCTCAGTGCTAGGATCTGGAAGAAGGAGTAGGGCAAAACTCCAGGAAACAGGGAATAGAAGTGTAAAATCAATATTTGCCAAACTTTCAGATATTAAAGGTCTAAAATAACTTTGTGCAGTAACAAAACCCCTGCTTTTGGAAATCTGTTCTACTCACCCAGACTGGAATATGACATGAGCTTCTGGGCATAGGATGGGAATGTTTTTCATGTCTTTGGAATAAAGAACTGTTCTGCTGTACAACACTGTGCAAAGAGATGTCTGAGTCTTCCAAGTTGGTTTCCCTGGGAACCCTCAGAGATTCTTGTCCTTCTGGAAAGCTTTGATCTGGCTCCTTTATATCCATATTGCACTGAGAATGCAGCTCCATAGCTTTATTTACTTCATCTACATGAATTGATTTTTCAGGAAGCTTCTTCTTATCAAATGCCTTCAAAGGTAATTTTTCAGAAGACACAGTCTCTTTTACTAACTGCTCAGAGGAAGTTTCATCCATTGTAACTGGTATGGGATCTAGTTGATAAAACGATTTTTGCTCTTCCAGACTTTCATTCCGCAGATCTTCCACTGAACACTGGAGAGTAATACATTCCATACTTCTTGACAGCTCTTCATATCCACTTGCAGGTGAAATACAGCTCTCATTGCCTCTGTTTTTAATTCCAGGGGTTTGTTCAAAAGGTCTCTGTGACACAATGTTCATATCCCCTGGCTGATCAGTATTCTGACAATCATCACTCAGAGTAGATTCTAATTGCAGTGGGTGAAAAGATTCTTCAGATCCTGTTTCAAAAATTGTCAGAAGTCAAACTTCTTGCTAACAAAACAGAATTTCCACTTTAAGTCTCTCTATAAGAAGACTTTTCAGTAATGTATAACAAGAAGTCTAGTAAATAGGAAGAAACATCTTGTTTAAAAAACTGCTTAAGTTTCCTGAAACATAATACCATTAACATTACAGAAAACTATTCCATCACTGTGCACAAAACTTCCAGAAACAACACTTTTTGCTGCTTCTTAGAATATGTTTAGGAATGGACTTTGTGATGGTGCTGACATAACTACACTGGAAGCCACAAGGCTTTAGAGCTTATAATGTTTAAATGGAAGTCCTCTGAGTTGCTTTTGGGACTGCAACGAAGTCTCTAAACCAGAAAGAAAACTATCCAAAACACCATTACTTGGGCAGAAAATCTTGAAAGTAGAAAGCATCATAAAACTGGAACAGAGACTACTGTTCCTCCAAGGTGCAGTACTGCACCCTAAATTATCTTTCTTTATCTGAGCATAGAAGTCAAGATACCATTTTTCCCCAGAAGAGGCTGGGCAAAGAGTAAGACTGGCTATCAACATTAATTACTGGGGAGGCATTTCAGTAGAACAGCATCTGCCAAACAGACAACAGTGTTGTTTAGATCCCTTTTTTTTGTCCTACGTTTGATAAAATTGGTTACACAGACTCCAGCATTGTGCTATCACCAGGCTTTTTATCCACATGCAAAGTACCACAGAAACATGTAATGGTTTCCTTTAGACATTTTTTTATTATTTGATAAACAGAAAGTATCTAATTTTATAAATAATATTGTCTGCTGATAAATAGCTGTTAATGGGGAGGGAAGAATTACACTGCAACATCAGCCATCAACAGCAAATTCTGTGGATAATGCATTTCCATGTCAGCCTTCCTTGAACAATCCAAAATAGTTTTTACTTGCTTAGCCTGCTGTTTATGTTATTTCCCCCCTCCTTTTAAAGCATAACAATAATTAGTTCATAGTTACAAAAACACGTAAGAGATGGGAAGATTTTGCAGTTAAACCACAAAGACTGTGTCTATAAGCAATTTAGAAATAGAATGGTTGAAGTTACAATGGAGGTTCCTAAATCCTATTTGCTGTGACCACAATCACATCTTGAAGTGTCAACCTCTTCCAGCATTTTTTATTACTTTGCAAGTCACAAATATAACTGACCAATAACCTTTGCATTAGAACTACATCTATTACTTGAATTATTGTCCCACATTTCCTGTTCCTGATCAGCTTTTTGCTGGAGCATCTTGAAACACTGAAACACCAATTCTTGCTCCAGAAATATTTAGATTGCTACTAGCCGCATTTGAAACTTTTAGAATTTAGAATTACATGAAATATCAAGTTAATTTAAATTTAACTGCAATACATTACAAAATATTTTTCCTGCTATAAGCTGCAGTTAACTTAATCATATACTTCCAGTTATTAATTACAACACCATAGCTCAAAAGGTTGCTGTCTTATCCTCCATTTCATTTTGTAGAGAGATAATACAGGGCAGTTTCAGCCAGAGTTTATATTTCTTTGCCAACCAAATCATCGCAGAGAGAATAAGTAACATAATATCCTACAGTGACTTGCATACGGTGGTCTGTTTTTGCATCACAGTCATAACTGCTGAAGAAATTAACTTTAAAAAATTTAGTTCTACCATTAAAGGTGGTGGAGGAGACTGTGTTTGAGAGTGGAGATAAGACATTTCAAAGCACAGCTGAGAGAAGCGAGATCTGTCTCCATTTCAAACCCACACTAAGGGCTGGTATTTATACACTGGCACAAAACTGATTTTGAAAACTACACTGAACATACCTGGAGTAACATTTTCTCTAATCAGCCCTTCTTCTGATGAAATGTTTTGCCCATTTGTTTCAAGACTAGAAGGCTGACTGCTTCTTTGTCTGTTCAGACCGGAGTTTTCCTCTTCTAGAAATGCAGACACATCAGGACTTTCTGTTGAAAATTCCGAAGCCTAGTGGCATAAAAAAAAAATTTTGACTTAAGATTAATTTTCTCAGAAATATGAAGGCCAAAAAGAATAACGTAGTTTTTGATTTTTGGGTCATGTTTCTGCTACAACCAGCAATCTACATATATTAAAAAAAAATACGGTGTTTTTTTTTCTAATTAGTATAGGGAGTATACATTTAAATCTTATGAAAAACTTCAGCCAAAGCTTTCCTCCACCAGAGTTTTTTTTGTAGTACCTTGCTAAATTCTCGACTGTGTTGGGAAATTCTGTATTGAGAACAGGATGATGATGATGATGTATCAAAGTCAACACTTGGTTCCAGAGGCTGAAAGAGCTGGTGATGGAAGTTTGGAAAAGGTCTCTCCATTTCAGGAGAACAGAGTTCAGTTGCTAGAGCTATAAAAAGAAAGAGGTTATTTTAAAAACAAACAAACAAACCCCAAAACAATGGGCATATCACAAGTTGTTTCTATATACAGTAAATAAAGCCTATAGTATTCTGCAGGTATACAAATACCAGCTGTAAAAATGAAATCTTTACAGCATCCAATTCTTTGAATCTTGACAGAATGCAGGTATATAAAGCAGTAAGAAAGTGCTACCCTGATTCAATTCTATTATTCTTTAAGTGAAAAGGTGAAGTCCATAAGTTCTCCATTCAGCTCTTGTGAGACTGGCTCAGAAGTAGTGTGGGCTTCTCAGTACAAAACTCACAACAGAACAAGACCAATGAAGAGCCACAAGGATAATTAGAGGATGGATGTAGCACATGAGGTTCAAAGAGCAGCTAAATAAACGAGTTTGTTCAATTTTAAAAGAAGAACTGGAGGTGTGAGAGAAGTGGTACAAAAATGTCTGCTGTCTACTACCTCTTAAGAGACAGATAAGAGAATCCTAGAATGGTCTGGATTGGAAGGGACTTGAAAGATCATCTAGTTCCCAGCCCCTTGCAATGGGACACCTTCTACTTGACCAGTTACTCAAAGCCCATCCAACCTTCCAGGGATGGAGCATCCACAACTTTTCTGGGCAACCTGTACCTGTGCCTTAACACCCTCACTATGATTGATTTCTTCCTAGTATTTAATCTGAATCTGTCCTTTGTTCAGTTTAAAGAAAATACAGTCTCCTTGAACATGCAAAAAAAACCCCAAAAAAACAAAACAAAACCAAAACCAAACAAACAAACAAAGAAACCCCCCAAAACAAAACACCAAACAACCCCCCCCAAAAACAAACAAACAAAACCAAAAAACTCAAAAGAAGAAAGTTATTAAAATGTTGCTTGGTGGCATAAAAGTATTGAATTCTTACATGTAGAATCCTTATTGGCTTTAAAATGTAAATTGAATATAAATAATACGGACCAACACCTAACACTGAGCAAGCTCCTCATTCTGTATGATCAGAGAGGAGCACAAAGATGCTATAAAATAATGAATACCTTGGAAATGCGTACTGTCCTCCAAGTAAGAGTTCAAGTTCCCAGTAGGTCTCCCCAGGATCTGCTGTATCTGGTTTTCTTTATAACAGTACATCTCTCCTTTGGAGAACTGACTTTCAGATGCTCCAGAAAAATTCTCTTGCCTCTGCTGCAAGGTAAAAGGAAGTGAGGAGTTCCAAGGGTGGCTTCCTTTTTCTCTCAGAATTCCATCTCCTCTACTATCAGAAGACAATCCTGAAATAGTAAGTTAGATGTTCACAGTTTTGCATACAAACCTCTTACACTATATAATTTGAAAAGACAGTTCTTAGTATCCTGAAATATTCATAAAGTGTTCTGGGGTTTTGTTTCTTTAATTGTCTCCTGTCAATGCTCCTACAAACCCTACCACGCATTTTCACAAACGTAAGTTGCTAATATCTAATTAGGAAGCAGTCAGTACATAGCACTTTTCCAGAATGTAGACTTAAGAAATACTGAAATAAAATAAAAAAAAAATTAATACTGCTATTTTATGCTAACTAGCACATCTTTATCTCCTACTACATATAAATTTGTCAATCCTTTCATGTGATCTTGAGTATCTTCATGACACTCCGCAGTGGTTTTATTCATGCTCAAACAGAAATTGCTTCATACCAACACTAGAAATCTGAGGGACCAAGACAACCAAAATCATGTTCCTAAACAGTACACCAACCCTTCTTTATCCATAAGCTTACAGAAGAACTGCACAAAGCAACCAGAAAAGGTCATTACTAAGCACTGAGGGTATGGTGAAGACACAGCTAGACTTGAAAAATTTATTTAGTCAAATAACTTCTGGTATTTTTCTCCAAGAAAAATTCTAGTATTTTCCTTTCACTAAAAAACTAAGTAAAAAATAGAGAAGAAAATATACAAGAAAATCATCTTAGAAATGGCTTTAGCTTTCTTACATCAATAAAACACAGATGCGTCACTAGTTATAAAGTTCACTACTCAAAATAACATCTGTTTGAAACATTATGGTTAAAATGAGCCATTGAAATCTCAGGCTGTAAAAACTGTAATCTTCAAAAACTGATTTATAAACATGGAGTAACACATACATATACATTTTTTAAGAAATCAGATGTGTGTCAGAATGATCCAAAATTAAGCCTCAATGTAAGTAAATCCAAGGGTCACTATCTAATACATTTCAAACTCACTTCTATGTTCACAAGTAATAATGTCAGGAGCATTTACGTATTTATTATAAAGGAACTGGTTTTGATTTTATGAAAAACTAACATTAAGAAGCAGACTACAGAGAAAAAATAGTAAGAATACATTTCCCAGAAAACTATTAAAAGTCAATATGGCACTCAAATGACATTTTCAGAAATAAGTCATTAAGAATTACTGTGGTGACAAGCAGATACTGGAACAAGTCTCTTAACAGCACAACAATCATGGCTCTGCAATAATCCACGATATAGATTGATTAGGAAACTTTTATCAATGTATCATTTGAAGATAATTTTTAAAACAAAAATTGCCACTTGAAAGCTGCTAGCGTTAATAGTTGCATAATAAAACTCAAAATATCCTTTGCCAAAGCAGATGTATAATAATACTAAACTATTATAAAGGTAAAATATCATGAGCTCCTACGAAAACATTCTGGTTATACTAAACACTCTGTAAGATATATTAATCAATCGTCAGTGAAGTTTGACATAGGATTATTTCGGAAGAACTTACATTCAGTGAGTTAGACCCATTCTGCCATGAAATGAAACCACAATTTTCCTTTTACAAGAACAACAAAACCTGAACACTCACCAGTGTCAACGGGGCTTGCATTCAGCACTTCACTGGTTGAAAAGGTGCCAGTGGAAACTGTTGAATTTACATCACAGGGTATTTTTTGCACAAAAGCCTCTGAACCTGGCACTTCCTAGGATAAAGTAAAACACACACATATTACCATGTATTCACATGTTCAGAAGTAAAACTTTAAACCCACAGATTTTATTCTGAGCTCAGTTCAAGTGTAGGAACCTTCATGTTTTGCACAATCAGGCAAATATAGATTCATCCTTGCTCAGTACAACACACTCACACCCCATGTCCCAGGCACATCACCCCCAACAGCCCCCCTCATACACACACACATACACACACTCACTCTCATATAAAGCCTCTCAGAACTGCATATAAATCATGACACCTGGAAGATTGTTTTATCTTCTGGTGGTCAGATTTGGCTATTTCTCATCACAGACCCACTTAAGTTGAATTGTGGATCTCAGAGGGGACATACATGCATAACATTAAAAACTCATGAACTTTACAAGCACTTCCAATATTGAGCTTTTTGCACACAGTAGTTAAAATCTAATTCTACGAAATTAAACAAAAATATACAAAATCTTCTAAAGCATTATCATCTTTAATTTTAAGGTAAGCTCTACAAAGTCACAAAACAGATGAGTGTTGTAAATGCAGACGAACCCAATGGAAAAAAAAGACGATGTCTGACTCAATTCAGAAGGCTGAATTATTTCTTTATTATAACTAAGCTAAAATATATTAATATGCTATATAAAAGGAGGATACTAAAACTACATACTACTTTCTTTGACTCTAACACAACTAGTGACCCTCTCTCTCTCTCGTCCCGACACAGGAGGATTGGATTTGCCATCAGGCTCAAACAGTCCTCACCAGAATCCAATCAAGCACTCACTCCAGGTAAACAATTCTCCAAACACATTCCACATAGGAAAACAAGGAGCAGAAATAGAAATTATTTTCTCTTTCATTTCTCTTTGTGCACCTCTATGAAAAATCCTGAGAGGGAGAGAAATGTGCTTGCCACAAATGAGGGTTCTTGTACTTCAAAATTCTGAAGAATCAGATGTGAACAGTTATTTTCAAACTTTGACTTAAAATGTGCCCTAAGAAAATTAAAAATCTAGGAAACCCTTCTGCTACATTTCTCATTACATACCCTCTCTCTCTCACTACATATATGTATATATGTATGCATATGTGTGTATTAAACATACACATGTAGAACATTAACATCCCAAGGTACTTTTATATATCCATGTCATACACAGCATGCTTTAAATACTGTTTTTATCTGCTACCAAAATGATGGAATCTTTGAGGGAGAGAAAGGAGGGAGATTGGTGCTGGTTTTGGCAAGGCTTTTAACACTCTCACAATATTCCATGATCCCAGTTTGGATGTTGGAACCTGGATGGAAGGACAGTAAGAAGGGTAAAAACCTGGCTGGACCATCAGGCTCAGAAGTCACTGACTGAAGGATTATACACTCTGTGGAGGTGGGGTACAAGTAAACAGGGCCCTGTCTTTGGCCATGACTCAGAGGAGGTTACACCACACTTCCATCAAATATGCAGATACATTAAGGCAGGAAGAGCATCCCATGCACTGAACAGCAGTGCTGGTATCGAGAAGGACCTCTGAGGCTGCCTCCACAGGAATGGTATGAAACCCAGCAAGCGTAAAGTCCAGCACCTGTGAAGAAAGAAGCCAAAGCACCAGTCCCAGCTGGGCCTGCCTGGGGAGCAGCACTGTGAAAAAGGAGTCTCAGCAAGCTGAGTGTAAGCCCATGGTGTGCCCTGACCGAGGAGCAACAGCATCCCATGCTGTATGAACAGGAACAGAGCCAGCAGATGCATCACAGTGGTTACCTCTTTACCTGGTCCTTACTGCTGCATCTAGAATAGTGCACCTACTCTTAGCCACCCAATATAAGAAAGACAGATTACATCACAAAATAGTGAGTTATATGATTATTTTGATATGACCAACCGTATTATCAAGCCCAAATGATGGTCCAGAACTTGTTCTAAGTCTCTCTCCACCTTCAGCAGCGACAACTGGTGAATCTTGAGACACTTGAGAATCCTCGGACTGGGCTGAACACAAAAGGAACAGAAGCAATAAGGAACAAAAAGCCATTTTCAACTTCATAGTGAGCAATGCACAGCAGAGGGCAGTAACACTCCACTGCTGCTGGCCTCACTCTTCGGGCACTGATTCTGCCCATCCTTAACCACTTTCCTCTCACCTACATAACACTTTTTGCTGCACCATACCACCAATTTCACAGTGACCTGTGGTCCTTGACATGCCTTCCTGTGATTTCTAACTACCACAGAGCAGGCAGGAAGAGCTCAAAATTCATGTTCTGGCTTAGCAGAATGAAACATGGCTTTGCCAGCGTTATCCCAATCATTTCACTGGCGTGGGGGGAACCCTTTACAATCTACCATTACAGTGATTACAAAGAACAGCAGACATTCTAAATGAATCAGAGAAACCAGAAGCACCGAACTGCTTGACTAATACCATGGAACTGAGTCACTTTTGCCATAATGCTCCTAACACATAAAAGTAAGTAAGATCAGTATCTGTGCTGAAAAGGACCTTCAAAGTTTAACAATTCTATGATTATAACTTAACTGTCACAAATACATATTGTTATTTCCAGTATAGTTTTCAAGAAAGTGCTAAGTATGAAACTGAAATTAAGCACAAGTGAAGTAGGCATGTTTTCTCCCAATTCTAAAAAGTCTGCTAATGACAGACATTTCAAATCTCCAGCTCTTATAAGACTCTCTACTTAGGCAGAGCTGATTTTTTCTGAATCCCAACACTACTTTGTACTTTCTATATGCTGAAACTCAGCTTCCTAACAGATGGCAAACTGATTGTTCTAATTCATACTATAAAAAAAGATGTTTCCTCTGTAAAGCAACAACTGTGATGGATTGATATGATATGACAATAATAAAGATTGTGTTCTCAACAAATATTAAACATTTTGAAACTCATTCTAGGGAGAGAAAAAAAAAATCCAAGATTTCTTATAGCCACTATCACCTAGTATACATCTAGGAGAAAGTACAAAACATGAAAGGAAATACATCTAAACCACATTTGTTTAGAGATCAAGTACTCAGCTTAAGTCCACTCCTCTTCCTTTGAGTAGGATACAGGGAGACAGAGGATCCTGGAAATGAGCAAGGCCTTCAAGAAAATTCCTTGAAGAAGCATGAAAACTGTGATCATCTAATCAATTGCCATTTAAATATCTCCATAGAAGAAAAAAATGCATAGTACAAAATGCTAAACTTAAAGTAATAACAAGAAGCAGTATCTAAAAATGGCTGTCAGACGTTCAGAAACTAAAAACTGACTATTTATTTTAAAATTTGATAAAATGTAAATGCTGGAACAAGCTACCACATAATTCTCCATTTCTTGATACCTTTCCATCAACATTAGAGATAGTTTTCTGAGAGAAGTTATTTTATTTTCTCTAGAATACCACCATTCAGGATACAGTAGAGATGAGATTCAAGCATTTCATAGTCTCTTGTATATAAATTCTGTGGACAGCTATGTTACAAATATTTTGTTACTGAACTCTAATAAACTGCACTGTTCTTGTGATATTAATACCAGGGATTAACTGTATAAATTTCATGCTATAAACCAAATAATATCTGTAAAAATCTGGTATTTGGTAATTCATAAAGGAGGGTTTTTCAGTTCTCTCTTCCTCCTCTAAAATAATAGTGCAAGGTTCTTGTTCTTCACAGCATCCTGAAATGAACATGAGAATTTCATGTTTTAACTTTCTGGCCACCACAAAGTGACAAAGAATTTATGTTTAAAAGCTGAATCTGTAATATCCCAAATGCTTCTTTTTCCCCCCAAGGGGAATGGCAGTAAAATAGCAACAATTATTTTAGGGTGCAAATGACCGAAAATCCAACACTCAGTGAAAGCAATATAAAAACAAGGATTAGTCCAAATTCAGCCATGTAGACAAACAAAGAAACAAACAAAAACTAAACTGGTAATGGAAAAGACAGTCTGTTGACATGCCAAATTATGGACAACTATTTGTGATTACTAAAGATAAATTGAAATCTTAGGTTAGCCTGGATCACAAAATAAAGTCATGCTTGGAATAACACCTCTGTCCAGAGTAGCACCACATTAAGGTAATCACATCTGGAACACTGCTCAAGGGAATCACTGCAAATATACAGAGACAAGCCTGTTGATGTGTCCCTCAAGGAGAACTGTGGAAGAGGTGTATGTATCAAACCTAGTCACAGCTGCAGGCTGACTTCCTAAGGAAATCAGGTTTATGCTATCAAACTAACTGTCTCACCTGCACGGTTACTCTTTAATTCCCTAGTAACAGCCTGAATTCTATTGGCCCATTCTAATCAAACAGGATTGGAAAGAACATCAAGTGTCCAAAGTTCCCAACTCATCCTATCAATGCATCAGTGGTATGTAAAAGAGCAACTTAGATTTCAGACTCATTGGTGGCGCTCAATGCAATATCACTTCTGGCTGCAACCAGCTGATCAGTTTATGTAGCACTTGCAGCCACTCAGTTCTGAGCACAGGGATTCATCCCCTCTAATCACAAGCAGTCCTTCAGACCCATTTTACAGACATAGCTGCCTTTAAAGTTGAGAGGCAAATTTTATAGGCAGCTAATTACAGACTTTTCAAAAAAAAACCTGCCTATTACCCAAGGCAACTCTCTTATCAAAGGAAACTCACCTTTGTTGATAAAGCATCTGCATGTAAAAAGCAGACTTACCAACTTTCTCTTTTCATCTTTTACGTCTGATTTGAAAAAGCATGTGAGCAATGACTACGGATTTTTACACATCTAGTGGTTCTGTAGTCATGAAAGCAGTACAACTCCTAAGTTGTAAAGACTTAGATTATTTGGTCAAAGGTTCAAACCACCAAGAACATTACTTCAAAGAACAGGGTCAAAGATCACACAAAGCACTCATTTGCTCTTACCTGTAGAGATACAATTACATCTTGAAAACATGAAAAAAATGCAAACATGTTCTGGTAAGAATCAAGTAGCAAAAAATTTAAAAACCAAATTAAATAAAAAATCATAAGCAACAACCTAAAATGAACCTTAAATTTTTCCTTCAGAAACCCTGTATATAAAGTGCAAGGGACTGTAAATTTTCTTGATGAAATACCACACTAGTTACTGAAAGTACCAGAGAGAGCCTCACAGCCTACATGTTTTCAAGATTATTGCTGGCACATTTGGTTGCTGATCTGCTCAAGAGGGCAATCCTCTTAAACACATAATCACAGAAAGCTTTAGGGTTTTTTTTCTTTTAATATAGATGTTCACATAAAGTTTCCTAATCCTCTTACATAAACTATTGTATTGTTCATACACAATAGTCTATAATGTAAAAAGGCACCACACCAAAATATTTTATATTAATTTGGTAACAGCTGCTCTAGCAACAGTTCTACAATTTACTCAGAAAAATACCAGTCTTTTCTTCAAATATTGTTAAAAGACAAAATGTTTTCATTATAATTGAAGCTCAGAGATAGATATACTTCAAAAGGGGCATTCTGAGACATAAAGAAACAGCTGAAGGAAAATGAGCTTATATGTACTCATTCAAAACAACTCAAATTCCAAGTAAATCTGATTGAATTGGAAATGATGTCTCAATGCAAACTAAATGAAAAATTAAAGCTTAGGGCCAGTGATGAAATTTCTAGCAACACCAGGAGGTGTGTACTACATAGTTGTTTTGCTTGTGCCAATGGGCATATGCAAGCTGCCAAGTTTCTGAGAACTCTTTTGCAACTCCAATAATATTTTGGATGAATCCTGAAAATTGTACTGGACCATGCAATGCTGTCATCTTGTAATAAACTTCAAATTGCTTTAGTGAATGTTTTACAAACTAGTTCTCTTTGTTCTTTTATAAAGCCAATCAAGTTACCCATAACATGCTTAGTAGGTTTCAATGTCCCTGTAACAAAATTATTTTGAACATTCTTTCTAACAAAAATGTTTTTCTTGATAACCAAAACATCTTGTTTTATTTTATGGAATCAGAATAACTCTGCCACCTATAAACATGGCCCATCTTCAAAGGTGTTCTTGTTTAATAAAAGCTCTTCACAGACAGACACTAATAGAGCTGAAGCAGTCCTTACACTATTACACTGTTGCTCCTTTTGACATATTCAGTGGAGCATGTTAAAAGCCTATGATGGCTCCTAGAAAGGTGAAAGCAGAATGGACCTCTCTCCAAGACTGGCTATGCACAGATTTTTCCTAGACAGGAGAGCTGTCACAGCTACTTGAAAATCCCAGGTGTCTGGCTCAGCTTTAGCATTGTGTTAGTCTCACAAGCTGAGAGTCAAGGCTAATGCACTGTGAGCTGATAACTTCCTAATTAAACAGAAATTGCAGATACAAAATAATTACCTGACACTAAGTAAGGCAATAGGTCACAAGGAAATTGAATGAAGCTGCATTAGGGTAAGCTCAGATTGGACATTAGGAAAAGGTTTTTCACTGAAAGGGTGGTCAGTCATTGGGACACATTCCCCAGGGAAGTGATCATAGCACTAAGGCCATCAGAGTTCAAGGAGCATGTTTAGTTTTAGGTAATCCTGGGAGAAGCAGGGAGTTGGACTCAATGAGCCTAATAAGTCTTTAAATTTGAAATATTCTACAACTCTCAATTTTCGTGTCTGTCACACCTAAGACATGATTCTTTCCAAGTTTTTTTGAGCTGACAATGACCTTATGCTTCTATTTTTTGTCTCAACCGTATTTTTAAGTAATTTCTTATACACAGTGATCCTTCAGTGGATGTCTACATCAACACATTAACACTCCAGAGGTCTTTTTAAGCACTGATTTCCTATGTATCAATACGAGAATTATTAGGTACTGAATCAGGAATGCCACTGGTTTACCAATAGGTTCCCACCTGGAATACCTGCAAACCTTTACAAGTCTAAAGGTTACAGATGCAAAGCACATGCTCTGGACAAGAAGCTGTTGACCAGCAATGAAGTGTCCTGCAATGTGGACTTGTAACCAAAATGGTAATGGATCCCAAAAACCCAAAAGATAAAAACTCATTCATTCTGAAACAAGTGCTTATTGAAACACCCTTTTTTACACTCAAAATTCAACGGCATTAAATAACATTGCATGTTCTTTAATAGTCAGGTCATATTCTACAAATAAACAGCAGCAAAATCAGCAATGCTGAATGGTATTCTTCAATGGAGAGGATTTCCTCACCTGAATCACATGACGTTTCAGCAGCCATCATCAGCAATTCTTGTAATAATCTTCCTGATGGATTAGTTTGCCTTGGACTTCCATTGGAGGCTTTTCTGTCATAGTTTGTCACGCCCAAGGGAAAGGCGCCTCCATGAAGAGCATAACTGTGATGTTTCACACATGCAAACTCCCCAGAGGCTGAACTCTGAGAAGTTTCTCCAGTACCATCATCTGTTTTATCCAAATTTAAAACATCTGTAATCAGTTTAGGTATAAAAAGGAAGTGTTTTGCACTTCATGAGGAACATTAAGATGCACATTCTATTCAACAGAAATAAACTGCTGAATTTGTATGGTCTCCATTTTAATGAATTTAGCCATATCACATCATTATACAAGCTGAAAGATTATGCAGATAATAGACTTCTCAAAAACTAATTCCTAACTCCACCAGAGTATTTATTCAAAAAAACCTCAAACAAATTTTTCACACAGCAAATCCAAGAAAACTTGCAGTAACTTCTCCTGATCCCAGGGTAATATAACTTCTCTGCTCTGGTTTAAAGATTTCTTTCTCTGCAACCCAGCCCACAAATCAGCCCTTTCTGGCCACCCAATCCAGTAAAAATCTCAAGTTTTTACTACCTACCATTAGCAATGGTTTGATAATATAAGAATAAATCACCTATGGATCACAACAGTATTATACAGCTAATTGTAAGTTACTAAGCCAAGTGCTTTTGAAAACATAAATACAATTTTCCATCAAAACCTTCCCCAACAGAACTTGCTATCTAATCAAGATATCAAATTCCTCCAACAAGAATTGCTCTGCATAAATTGATGCTGACTAGCATTAACTACTTTTCTTTAATTGAAGCATGTCCCGTATCAGCTTTTCATTATTTTGCAAGGAATGGCAGCCTGACAAGCCCATAATTACTCACATTGTTCTGCTGAGCCTTTTTAAGAACACAACATAAAAAAGCTTTGTAAAATATGCATTACATTTTAGATGTGAAGAGACATTGAAAAAAAATTGTTTACCTTTAGAAAACATGAGTTTGTTGTACCTGTTAAATAATGTTCCTTACAGAGACTTGCAAAGCATTGTCTGCAGATTGTAACTGTAATATATTTATAAAATTTTTATTGCTCTCTAAATTTTTTTTGCAATGAGTGTTTTTTAACTAGAAAAAACAACCTAAACAGATGGTCTAAAAGTTTCTGTAGAAGCTTGATACTAACACTTTACTTGAAAGATTTTACAGTCACTTTCTTGGGATGATCAAAAGGTAAACCTTTAAAGAAAATCTAGCAACTTCTTTTTAGTTACTGTACAGTTGCCTATTAACACAGACCCTGCCCAAAAGAAAAATCAACAGGGAACTCAGGTCATGGAGTAACTCAATTTTCTTTTCCTAGTGAAATTTTGTTTGTTTTTCTAGACAGACACTCACAGAATAAACTTTTCCGAACTACAACTTTGCTAGTATATAAATTATACTTTAAGAAAGGCAACAGTATCAGCTATTATTTCCTAATAATCTCAAAGATTCTTCAGAAAATATTATATTCCTCCAATCTACTACTCATAACAGCACTTATTATATATTTTATACATTACCCGCCAAAGAGAGGCTGCAACTCTTCGGTGTGTCTACCTCTGGTATAACACTAAGTTCATGCTGCTCCAAACCAAGCCCTAACTTGACTTTTGTCACTGGTGGTTTGGAGGACCTCTGTTTCTGTTCTCTACAGAGAACTTTCTCAGATTGATCTGTAAAACAAAGTTTAATATCTTGCAATAATATGTGTACTAACACACAAATACTTCAAATTAACTTGGAGAGATGGAAGAGAACTCCATCTCAGCCGTAAAGCAATAAAAATTATAATGAAAAATAACGTAACTGCCTTACCAGTTTGCTCAACTGGACCAATGCACGGTGAAATTGTTTCACTTCTGTGAAATTTATTCCTGCGACAATTCTCTTGCTGGTAGTTTTCTAAAACTTGGAAGAAGTCAGTTCTCTTACTCCTGAAAGGCTTTTGTGCCTCTGTCATTTCTTCATTTGGGTGCATATATCTCACCTTAGAAGGGGGAAGCATTTTTATATAAGATTATATTTATACTCATTTATCAAAAGAAAATTTTCTCTTGTGTGTATTCTATGCAAGACAATATTGAGCACATTGAGAAAGTAGTTCAATTATGCAGGATACCAGACAGATCTCTTAGCTCACAAAAACATTTGGACATGGAGATATTTTACTGAGCTCTAAAAACCTAACGTGCTAAAACACAATTAGCTACATTTCAAGGCCTTTGTGAGATTAGACCAGAGTACTCATAATTTTTAACAAGAACAATTGCCAAAAAGTCTGCTTTTAGTTTTTCAGCTCCTGAATTCAAGAATTTTAGCTGCTTGGAAACTGCAAAATCAAAAGACAGGAACTAGAGGGAACAGTTATTCTTCTAAGATGGCTTCTGTTTAAAAAAAAACACAAGGAGAGGCAAAAGGAGGCTCTTTATAAGCTCAAAAATAAACTTGGATTTTTCTTCTGTTACTGAGAAACAAGCAAATTACAACTCAAGACTGAAGTTGCCAAACCAAATTCACAGTGAATACACACAAAAGACAAGCTTTAAAAATCATCTATTCAAGATGATTATGATATCCTTTCAGGTATTACATTATTATGTATTATAATGTATCAGGTAATACATTATTATGCATTGTTAATACAAGGGCTGTTTTACACCTGGAGGTGCATTTACAGATATGAAAACAACTCTGCCTACAGGTGTTTCAGACAACAATTTCAATGGGTATTTCATTCAGAGACCAAGCACAGACCTTCACAGTATTTCTGTTAGACTTGATAAAACTGCGCTCTTGGAGCTTTACAGGGGAAAATACTGATTACAAATCACAAATCCTAATTAAAATTTTTGTTATGGTAAATCACCTAGAACTATCAATACTCCATGGGGTACACTGTAGCACTGACTTGTACATCTGATCACCTACTGATGATTAACTATGCAAGGTGTTTCTAAAGCTTACCTGCTTGTTCAGAAGTTCTTTCAAAGCCTCTTGCTGTCTCTGCATCTGTTCCTTCAATTTATCTTGCTTCTGTAAAAGTAGTTTTTCTTGTATTCTCTGTTTAGAAAGAAGAGCTTCTCTTTGCGCATCTAGCTGCTCTTGCAGTTCTTTCAAATACTTTTGCTGAGCTTGGATGCTTTCTGATGAGGCCAACACTCTGTCCCTTAGGCTCAGTATACCAGAATAATTTAATGAAGATGCATCTCCTGCTTTTGATACCAAGAATTCCTCAACTCTCTGGGCTTTAGATTCTTCATGCGCTAGAATCGTGGGTTCAGAAAGATTGAGAGGTTGATCAGGGCTTGTTTTGCTGCTCTCTACAGATCCCTGCTGATAGGCTGAAGGATCAGCCAAGGCTGATTTCTTCGTTACTGGCAGGATGGATGTCTTAAATGCATGCTCTTCTCCATCTTCTGTCTTGTTTTGATAGTTAGATATCTTCTGAGGCAACTCTTTAGAGAGTACTGTTTCTGAAGACTCAGAGAAACTTTCTGCAGGCAACGTAAACCTAAAGTGTTGTTGGTGTGCTTCTGGTTGTATTCTTACTGCAGTCACTTCTTTCCTGACTGACCCTGATGGTAAATGGGACAGGAATGGTTCTCTGATGTGATTATTGGCAGCTTTGAATATTCCCACTTGCTCCTGTGAAGGACAGTCACAGGGCAAGTGAAACTCTCCATGCTTCAATTTTGATGCTTCTGAAAACTGCACTGATTTTCCAGGACAAGTATTAGGCACTTGCTCTTGCTGCTTCTGTGAAGATAGTTTTTCCAACATACCCAATGTTCCTGAAAACACAGGTAACGACCGCGCATATTCTTGGGCATGAACTTGTTCTGATGCCTGGTACTGTGTTGGCTGTGCTCCTTGTATCTGTAGGGGCTGCTCTGAGACAGGCTCCAAATTAATGGATTTTGTTTCCCTTGTGCTCAGAGGTATTTCAGAACTAGACAAGTACCTTTGCCTCAGTGTATTCTGATACTGCTGTAGATTCTTTCTAGCTTCTTCAATGGTTTGTTTGTGCAACCTAAACAGAGCGAAAACATGGTTCTTTTCAAAGCAGTGCAAAAAGAAACATCAACTTCAATAATCAAGGCAATTCAATGACTTTGAACAGGCATTCCATAAACACACTTTCCATTCCACAGATACCTACCTTTTTTGCTGCAGAAGGCGTTGTTGAAAATTACGTATCGTCTGTCCATGATTGCCTTCTCCTGGACTCCTGGTTTCTGATACATTTCCAGACTAATCAAAATAATAATTTTAATTGCACATATGCAACTAATTCACAGAAAACTATTATGGCAGCAACCTTAAGCTGAATGTTCTTGCACCTAAGTTTACAGGAGCTGCTGGGTACCACCATGTTTGAAGTCTGTGGGATTTCAGCCTGAGGCAATGCAGCTAAAGGAGATTCTAGAACATGGCCCACAGCTACAGCCTCTCTCTACACACACCATCAAAGTCAATGGTGCTTACAGCAGCTCAGCCTAAAGAGGTAAATATACCCTGCAAACTCAGGGAGCAATGAGCCAATGTAGCTGCATTTCCAAGGCAATCACGCTCTCAAAAGACTACCAGTTGTGCACATGAAGCAAGATTTTATATATAAAAAAGATTACTATCTGTCAACATCCTCCATTAATTCCTCTTCTTTAAGCATTTGTTTGAGACTTAAACAGAGGCAGATTTTTGTCTATTTTCTCCCACTGTGATTTCTGTTTACCTTCTTGAAAAAGGTTATGTTTACATGCACAATCATTATCTGACTATAACCAGATTTTACTAACAGATATTATAATCAAGGCTGCCCCTTGAACTACAGAGAGACAATACAACAGCAGAAAGTCAATCACAAAATCACAGAATCACTGAGTTGAAAGGGACCCACAAGGCTATCAAAGTCCAGTTACTAGCCCTGCACAGCACCATCTCCAGGAGTCACAGCATGTACCTAAGAGCATTGTCCAAACTCTCTTGAACTCAAGAGAGGCTTGGTGCTGTGACCACTTCTCTGAGAGCTGTTCCAGTGCCCAACCATCCTCTTGGTTAAAAACCTTTTTCCAGTATCTAACCTAAACCTCCTCTGATACATATTCATGCCACTCCTTCAGGTCCAGTGATACCATGTGAAAAAGAAGCTTGCACACTAGAAAAAAAAGCTTTAATGCGTACAAATTTCTAATTCACAGCCTAAGAAATAAAAATTGTCTTAATTGATATAGTTAAAATTGGTAAATGGTGTTCTTTATTTTTATAATAGTAAATAAAAACCTACACAAAATTTTCTCTAATTATTCACCTCATGTTCCTTTTGGTTCTGATGATCTGTGGAATGGAGACTGTGGCTTTGTACCAGCTGACGTTGCTCTTCCTCTTTTTTCTTCGCCTGCTCCAAACTGGTTTGCATTTGGATCTTTAGATAATCAGCCTCCAAAAGAGCTTTCTCTTCCTCAATTTTTTTAATCAAGGCCAGCTGCTCCTGTTTCTGTTTCTCTATTTCCTCATTCTATCAAAAGAAAAATAAGGGAGAATCTCTAGAACTGAATGTCAAAGAAGCCAGACTGCTCACACACATGACCACACCACGCACAAACTTTTGTTCCAAATAAAGAAGAAATTCTATTGCTTGTGACAGATATTTCCAAATTGCAACAGGCCCTTAAAAGTAGTTCCAAAGTCTACAGGAATAACTTTGTTTTACTGGTTAAATATTTCTAACAATCTCTGAGTCCATTTACTATTGCATTATTATCTGTTCTCAAATAAATAAAATGGATAAAATCAGAATCCATTCAAGATATATAATCATTTTCCGAAGACTGCAAAAGTAGTAATTTTCCTAAACTTACTTGAAAAATCTATTTTGCATTTTACTCAGTTTTTCATCAGAATTCATCACATCTAAACACTAATTCAAACTTTACAAAAGCTTCTGAAATAGCTAATGTATAACCACTTTGAGAGCAGTCCATCAGCCTCTGAAGTAGTCTGTTTATTCTCTTTCCATATACCTGTCAGCTACAATTCACTTAGATCTACATTTAGTGGCAGCATATGTGCTTTTAGAATGGAAACAATGAAAAATTTCAAAGTACTGGCAAAGATGAAGTGCACAACAGCCTTTAATAACAGTCTGAATGGGCATGTCAGGAAAAGCAACCTGAGAAAATGCTGGACCTGAGAACAGTTAATGTGGACACAGAACTACATACATCTGCCAGGTGCAAAATGGGAGGCAATGAAGGTTAAAGAAAGTAGCCACACTTTGATAAAGGATCTGTTGCTTGTTGTTTTTTTTTTTTTTTTAATATTACTATTTTGTCAAATTTTTGTTTCCTTGATTTCTGAACTTTATAACTGAAGGTTGTACATAGACCCAAAATTCAACTTTTTTTTTAAATTGGTAAACCACCACATAGGTGGGTCTCTAGGTAGGTCTCTAGGGATACAACAAAAATTAAAATACAATGAAACACAATACACAATAGATATAATGAAATAATGCATAAAGGTATTCTTTTCTAAATGTAATAAATATAGCATTCCCAGAGACACAAAAAACCTTCTGCATTTGCTTCCCAGATAACCTTCCTAGATAACTGAAAAAAATTACTGAAAGTTTGTATGCTTTTCCTGTCACTCTAAACACAACCTCACAGATTTCAGAGTTGTGTATTGCTGACTATACCCTCCCTTTATAAAACAAAGGTATTAATGTACAACTGGGATTCTCATTTAACCCTGACTACCCTTGCCTACAGCACTTGTTACATTTGAAGAAACTGGGGGTTTCCACTCTATTCTAAATTCCAGCTACAGCTTTGATTTTTGAGAAGTATAGAAAATGTTACAGTAAAAGTTCAAATGTTGAGAGTGCCTATAGCTGCTGTATAACCTGAAATATTTTAAAATCTTTTGTAAATCTGTTTTTTACAGCAAAACTGAGGTAAGAATAAATATAAACACACTTACCCACTTCTGTCTCTCCTCTTCCATTCTCATTTTAGCTGCCTCTTCCATTCTCATTTTAGCTGCTTGTTCTTGAGGATGGATTGGAACTGACTTTTCATCTGCAACTGCATTTTCCAACATTTTCACAGAGTCTAAAATATACATGTTACTTAGCTGTAATTGCAGTCAGAGCAAGCCTTGGATCTTCTTTACATCTTTCTTTACAGTTTCCCAATATCTCTCAACAAAATGCATAAGCTGCTCTTGAAGAGATCTATATCCTACTACTCCGACTGTCTCCATAAGCTGGAAAATCAGTTTTTATATAATTTAAGTCTTTAATAGCCCTTTATCGTGTGTCTTTCTTGAATACACAGTAATGTCCCAGCTTCAATGGGACTGAAAATTACTTCTAATATTACTTGGGAGACCAAGGGCAAGATCATCCTGAAGAATCAAAAGCCACACATTAACCACTTGGAACAAAGAGGGTCTAAAACTGGCAGTACTGGGAAAATTATCTAACATTTGGCTACTGTACAAAAAGCAAGTCTCAATCCTGTACTGTTAGCTTCAAATAGCAGCACATTTTCCCCAAGGCATGGTTTCACTCATGCTGCACTCTCCAACCCCCAGGCATTATGTTGGCATAGCCATGTACATGATGGAACTATCACTTTATCTTGTTTAAAAAAACAAGCACCCTATGAAAACAAATAATCCAAAAGCAAAAAACCCAAAACCCAATGCCTCAACTTGATTACTTGAAAACTTCAGAAATCCTACCCAACATACAAGATCACCAATTCAGCATTAGCCTAACCAGAAGGGCACCAAGGACAGACATGGGAAGTAGCCCAAGATAATTTGGCTATCAAACAAACTGCAGTGTCTAATTGCTATAAATTCCAATTTTACAAAAAGGTTTCTTTAATGGTGCCTAAAAGCAGAAGAAAACTCCACTCATCAGCTTATACTTGTCTTGGGCATTTATAGCTGTGAATCTCCAAAGAAAGTGGCTTTTCACAGGTACAGAAATTCAATGCTGACTCCTGCACTGAGAATTCTATCCCTGGAGGCAAACACCTATTAAGTACAGCAATACCAAGTGTGGCAACAATTTGAGTGAGATTTGAAAGATAGCAAGGTATTTTGGACATCTGCTCTCTTCAAGATCTCAATGGACAAGTTGGACATAAGAGCAAAAACCTCTCATATGTGGTTTCAACAAATCCACAATACCTTGTGGGCACAGACAGGAAACTGTACTTTTATTCAACATGACAAAACATTTAACACTGGAAGTTCATTAACAGTTTTGTCACAGTCACTGTCATAGTTCCCCCGGTACAAGTCTTTTGGTCCTACACAACAAACTTTGATGCAAGTATGTACTGTGTACCTTTGGCTTGAGACACTGAGTTTTTCTGCTGCTCCTTGTTAAGTTCTAAATCACATAATGGTCTATTTTCACTTGCAATTGTGCCTGATTTAATAGTTTCAAAATCACTTTGACTCTCTTTCTCACTTTTTGACGTCCACTCCTCTTTTTGGCTTCTAATTTTGTTCAACAATTTCTGTAAGGCAAGTTTTGATCGAGGTTGACAAGTTTTTCCTTCTTCATGCCCTAGAAAGAATAGATACTGTTAAGAGTTTTGGGTAATGAATATCTTCATATCATAAAAAAGGCCTCTATTTCCTTTTTATTGCTTACAGAGTTGGACAAGTAGCTTAGATGTATTTTTAAAATCTTAGCAGAATTTTCTCTTACTTGCAAAAGCAAAGCAGTAACTTGTCTCTGCAAGCTATAAAAGAAGGACTAAGATGGGTCAGTGTTTTATAGTCAAACTGTAGCAGAAATATGCAGTACTATCCCCACACCTGCCCTCTGCTTTCTATCAGCACTGGAAGCACAATGCACCACAGACCAAACATCAGACTGTGCCACCCAAGGGATGCAGAAGTGCTTGTTCAAGCAGCAAAGTTCATGGAGACATTTCTGGCTCACATCATATGACCCTGGACCACACAAACAGGACACACTCATGCATCCATTCCAGCCTACTCAAAATGTGCAGCAGCTCAGCCACAAACCTGAACATAAGACATACAATAAGCAGACTATAAAGCTTTGAAATATCTCATAATCTTAATTTCACACATCAGCATCAGTCCATAATTTATACTAAGTATACAATAATCATTATGACTAACAGTGTAGTTCTTACAATTGAAAATTATTCTCAGCATACTAATAAACTGAAGCATATCAGAGAAAGAAGTCACATTGTCATTTTTAAATTCATAATCATTAGGGTATTAAGCTCTACACTAAACATAAACCAAATTATACTGAATTACTTTACGGACATTATGAAGTTTTACTACTTAGGGCATTTTACTTATTACTAAAATTTATTTGATATACTAATCTTTTCTAATATAAAATGAAAAGGTTTAATTTAAATATGCAGTTTAGAAGTTTTACTTTCTGGTTCATTAAGGACCTCCTCTTCTATCATATGTCCTGATTCTTGTTGAGTATCACAAGGAAGCTCTGGTTGAGTGTCACAAGCAGATTCATGCTCCAAGGAGATATCAAGATCATTATCTCGAGCTCTGTCAGAAGGAGCTGGCAAAGGTTGTGGCTCAAACTGCAGAATCAGGTCTCCTTTCATGTCTAATTAAAAGAACACAATGAAATAAAATGACCATTTGGAATACAAATCCAACAACATTGCAAGACTACACTCACACACAAATCCCCCGGAAATTCAAATATCAAGAGGTTATTTTACAACAAATCTAATCCAGCTTTTTTTTCCCAACCAAAATACAAGATTCAAAACTGTTTAGATCAATAGCCATCTATTCATTCAGAACCTCCACAGCAGTTTCCACTACAATATGCTATGTTTTTCAAAATAAAAGTTGATGTGATGAAAGCAAAAACCAAAAGCAGCTCACAAGATCCAAATAACTTCATCAGGGAAAAGACACACCCTGACCTGGCTGTTCACAAGGCTGCCACAGGAGAGTGATCACACAGTCCAGGTGTGAAATCCCAGAAGACTGCATAACAGGAATTCCCCTATGATCACCTTACTGACTGAGGGGGTTACTACCTACAAGGGATGTGGGACACAGGGGAAGAACACCTTGAAATTCTATGCTTGTTACATATACTTAGGGGAGGAACCCAAGGCAGGGAAAGGAAAGGATCAAGTTAGTCAGGGGCAGAACAATTATGAGATAAAAGTGCAAAAATAGTGAGATAAAATGAGAGTCAGTCCACTGGTCTGGCCATGCACTGTACCTGACAGTCTGTTCTGTTTTCTCACTAAATTCCAATTGTAGCTGTTTTTCTACACGAGGAACACTGTTTTGTATGCATGTGTGTACATAGATATGTAAGGGCCAGTAACTGAAACAGGGACCAGAAGTCACAGGTGCACTTGTGTCTAGAGCATTGCTAACTGCAGAGGCTAAATGCATAATGAATGCATTTAGCTGGGTATGAGTATCCGCATGCAGTGGCTAGCAAATCACAAGCTAGACTAGCTAGCAAGAATGGTAAGAGGCTTAGGAGTTATACATCCGTCAGCTCTAAGACTTGGCTGGGTTTTGTAGAGGCCAGGGGAGCTTACAAACTGTCTAGGAAAGGGATCAGGAGATCCAAGCATTGAAGCCAGCTAGAGAGGAGAGGAAGGGATTCTAAGAAACCTGCTAGCATATGTGTGTGCATCTCCAAGACTACAAGAGGATTCAGGGTCAGCTACTGGGTAGACTTAATATATAAGGTCAGTTTCCACAGGAATCCATAGCATGTACATGTCTGTTCATATGCTCACATGCCCAGCTGGGCCTGTGCAGTAACAACTGGTGAAGAGCAGCAGATCTTGGGGATTCACAGGCCCAGCAGCCAGCAGCTAGGAAGACTAAGGATCAAGGGCCAGCTGCCAGGTAAGAGCAAGTGTCTAAAGCTATCCACCAAGTGATCCATAGCACATATTTGAGCACATGTGCATTTGAGTACATACATGAGTATGAGATGTAATGTTAAGGCTCCAGGGCCCAGTATGAATCACTGGACTCTAGACTGGGTGTCTGAAACCTGAGGAGGATCTGCAGTTGGCAGAGAGAGACCCAGGATACAGGGAACTACTCCTGGATAGACTGAGTATCCAAGACCAGCTGCTGAAGGAATCCATACCATATTACACACATATATCCCACAAAAGGCCTTCATGTTGATCAGCCAGAGCAATAAACAGAAGAAAGCCATTTGTGCTGTTTGTACTTATGTGAGTGCCGCTTTTCCTGCTGGCCTCCATGGCCAGCTCTATGGATTTGCCCTGGAAGGCTGTCTGTGTGCATGTCAACTAGGATACACACACAGCTTTGCTACCAGCTGCACAGGGAAGCTTTACTGGGTGCCAGATTCCAGCAATCTCCAACAAAGAACTTACTCCTGTCTTCACTGCACATTTCTTCAAATGCAGATTCCAGTTCTCTCTGCCATTCTTCTTTTATTTCCATGCGTTTGTATGGTGGTACTGAAAGCTGAGATGGCATCTGTGCAACAGCCTGTCTCCTGCGCATCCGCTCCTGAGCATGCATTTGCTCCAGTTCTTCCAGGAGTCTTTCCCTGTCCTTCAAGAATAAGGAAGGGATAACAAACTTTCAGTGTTCACATTCAGACAGCCACATATCAAGACTGATACAAAATGCTTCCATTTGGTTACCATGATGTTTGGTTAATGTTCAAAGTTAATCTCATTCTAGGGAGAAAGTGCTTCCTCAGGAGAAAGCTGTATCAGCCCTTTAGACACAGGAGTTATCAATACTACCTAGAAAATCTGATGTTAAATACAGGATCAGACTGCACCTGCAGGCCAACTTTACTCAAGATAATTAAGCTTCCTGTTTTATACGTAAACAAGTATTTCTTTTGCCAAGTGACTTTTGCTAGGATATAATTCAGCAGTTGCTACTTTTTAAGATGCAAACTAAATACTCTTTGGCGCATTGAGTATATGTGAGAGCTATTTAAAAAAAAAAAAAAGAAAAAATAAGTTTGTTGGCATTTTTTTTTTTCTGTTAATTTCAGGAGCACCAGTAATATTTCCAGAAATCCCCATTTTAGTTTGGTTACTCATTCAGGGCCAATCATATCCCAGATGATAAAACATAAGCTTTTCTTTTTCTAGACAATGAAAATACATGTGAAGCTATCAGATCACAACATTTTTTTGAATATAGATCACAGTACAAAGACTTTTCTTAGTAGTTCAATTTTTATTTCTTAAAGGAAACTATTTCAACATTTGCAGACTTGCACACTAACAGAATATCAGTCTTTGAGTAAAAACTTAGGAAAGTTTTCAAAAAATAAAAAAAATTGCTACCTTCTTAGCAATATTTTTTCCACTAAAGTACCAACTCCAACTACAGCTAATGTGGAAAAGCAGAACTCATTACCTATTAAAGTTTTGCTTGACTATTGTTTAATAGCTGGTCAAACATTCAGATAAAAATTAAGAGGATGTTCTATCATTCTCACTCCTTCTAAATGCTAAAACAAGCAAACAGATTTTGACTTTTTCTTTTCAATGACATTCTGCAAACTTTATTTAGTCCATCAATTTCCCTCCTGTAAATGTAATTCCTTTATTAATCACCTACCTACAACTTATTTAACAGTGGCTGTTCTGACATTAAAAACAGACATAACTGCTTTGCCTACCTTGGCCAATTGGATCTTCTTCAAGGCGTGACTTCCTCTAATATGTGCCTTTTCAAGCTGCTTTCTTCTTTCCCTCTCTGCCCCCCTGCGTAGTTCCTCCAAACGTCTCCCCTCTTCTTCAGCAGCTAAATGAGCATCTGGCTGGCAGTCAATCAATAGTTTAGTCCGTGAAGTTATTTGATAGTTTAAAGCATATGTAACAATAAATAAATGAATAATTCTGCAGCAATAGCACTTAAATTACATACAATGCTATGTGAACATGCTTGACTGTCTATGTTGCAAGCAGGACCAAAATCACTTTCTACCTTTGGAAAAAAATTCATTGTTACGTATTTTGTAAATTTAGGTGACAAAAGTGTTCCAGTTTCAAGCTGTACCAGGGGCAACTATTATATGATTTGTTATCACAAAGTGGTTACTTTTCCTACAATACTGATATGGTCAACATTACAGATTGAATACTTCTATTCTCATGCTTTTGTTTTGAACAAGGAGAAAAAAGACCCTGAAATATCTTCAATCTTACTTGGGAAACCAGAAACAATCTGCAACTTTCAAAGAAGAAAGAACTTCCTAACATAAAAATATACTTAGGAATAAAAAAAAGTCATTTCAAATAAGCAAGGAAAATACAAGGCAAGTCTGGGAGTACATTGCTAAAAAGAGGGGAAGAGAGAAAACCAGGGCAACTGCACCTATCAGCGTAAACCACAAGTCTTCCAGTTTGGTGTTTGAACATTATACCAGTCTTGTGATCTCACCTTCCAATAAAAGCCTGTTCACAAGGGACTGCTAGGTGTGATCCCCTAAGTGACTGAGCACATAACAGGCTTTAGAAGCCTGTCCATCTGAGATTCTCTTCAGTAAGTAGTATAAGATGCTTTATAGAAGTTATCTTTAAACAGGTTCTAGAAAATCCACCGGCTGATATCCAGACAGTGTATGCAATGTAAAGAAACATGAATGTAACACTGTAGCACAAACACTTGGAGTTAATCACCTGCCCTCCTTCTACTTCTCTATCCACCAAAGCTTCAGCAATATGGTAACGTGTAACAGAAAAGTTTTCGGCACCACAGTTCTTCATCGCAAGGATCTTTTTCACTTCAAAACTCTAGGAAGAAAAGTACAACTACAGCTGTATCACAGAACAGTAGCTCCACCAAAGCAACTAAACAAAAGTGATCTATATAGCTAAATTATTATTAAAAGAAACCCACCCCACCAAATTACGTCCTGAAAATAGTGTTTAAAACCTTATATATATGTAATAATTAATAAACCACATCAGCACAAGGCAGATCTAGAGGGCTTTTATAATGGAGAGCATATAACAGTCATAGGCAAACCCCTACACAGATATTGATGGTCATCAGTGTCATGTTTCAAAACCACTAATTTAAAAGCACTTGAGTTTAATGCATTAATACAAATCCCACTTACAACAGCTGTCACATTCACCTCAGAGCAGGGCAATCACAGACCCACAAAATAATTATATCCAACAGCTAAGCAACACTTCTCAAGTACAGACTTGCTTTAGGAAACTCAGAGCCATTATGTCTAATCTATTAGTTGACCAGAGAAAAGAGCATTTTCTGTAACTTCACTGAAAAGTGCCTATTCATAGAATGCTAAGTTGCTGCAGTTTTTTAGAAGTTTTGGGTACTCTAACACATTTCAACTCTTTTCTGGAAATCTGAACAATAAACCAACAGAGGCTCCCTCTTCTTTCGCTTAGCCTCATGTTTTCAGTAGCAAAGTAGCCAGGTTAGGTTATTCAATATCCTGTTGGACCTGTCTTTGTACTTAACATTTCCTCCATTAATTTTCTCTCAGCTTCCTCTTCCCTCAACCTCCTCCTAAAAAGGTGTTCTTATCCACATTAACTAAACTGGAAAGATTCATAGCTTGAGTGCTCTAAAACTAACACGTTCATAAAGAAATGAACACACACAAAGAGCAGCATTAATTCTCAGAAATATCTTAAACTTATCTCTGCATAAGAGACATACAAAACTTCAGTATTGACGATCACTATTTTATGAAGACTGTAGAAAGTAAAGTCTTTAAAAGAAAATCAAAGAATTATAGAACCATTTATATGGGAAAAAATCTTCATCAAGTCCAGATATGAACTCAGCATTGCCAAGTCCACCACCAAATCATGTTCCTGAGTGCCACAATTCACATCTTTTAGGTATCTCCAGGTAATGGCGATTCCACCACTTCCCCAAGCAGCCTGTTCCAGTGCTTGATGAGACAGCAAAGAATTTTTTTCCTAATAGCCAGTCTAAATTTCCCCTGGTGCAACTTGAGGCTATTTCCTCTTGTCCTATCACTTGTTACCTGGGTGAAGACACCCACCCTTGCCTAGTTACAATCTCCTTTCAGGCAGTTGTAGAGGGTGACAAGGTTCCCCCTGAGCCTCCTTTTCTCCAGGCTAAACACCCCCAGGTCCCTCAGCTGTTCCTCTTCAGCTTTGTGCTCCAGACCCTTCCCCAGCTCTGTTGCCCTTCTCTGGACATGCTCCAACCCCTCAATGTCTGTTTTGTCCTAAGGGACCAAAACCGATAAAATTAATTTTAGCCTTACCAACAGAATTCAGTAACTTATTTTATGGTCCTTAAACAATATTTTTGCATGTTATCCTAGTAGATAAAAGAAACTGCTAAATTTCTTAATCAATGCTAATAATAGTAATTGTAACAGATCAACACTTGCAGATAATGATTATAGCTATGAGAACAGACAAGTCCCAGGCCTAAACCTCATTAGCCAGATTACCAGTGCTTGCCCTGTACTGGGTTACTTTCAGAATGTACAATTAAACACTTCTTCTGAATTACTTAAAATTAACAAATTAATAAACTATTAACAAACTAATAACAAATAATTATTAATTACATGTAGTCAATCAAATCTCCAGAATTTTATTCAAAAGCTGCGATGATGTGAGAATTATGTTGGAGGCTGCAATTTTTCAATCAGTGTCAAAAGCAATTTAGGCTGAAAAAAATACCATACTTCCATCATGGTTTTGTAACTCCTCTCTCCTTTTTTTTTTTTTTCCTTCCTTCAAAAAGCAAACAATTCTATACTAAAATCTGGCAAAACTGGAGCAGCAAAGTATCATGAAATGGGACAAAAACCCAACACAAAACTCATGACCCCAACTCTAAAAATGCTATGAATACTCAAGCACAGTATAGTAATACTTTTCAGTTTTTATTTCCATTCCATAAAAATCTAATAGAGCATATAAGAAAAAGTAAGTTTCCAAGAACGCTGCCACATTTTCCAATAAAATGTTGTTCCAAAAAAAACCACCAATAAAATAGTGTTTACAGTTTAACTTGAATTAAGTAACTTTTCATTTGGTCTAACTAAATACAGCCTCTTAAAATCCATAATTCTGAGAACCAAAATGGGTTATGACATTAGAGTAAAAATACTTCTTTTCTAACTGGGTAAAATCACAATAATAGGAGTATCTTTAGAGAATATTTCTTATATTCTAAGTAATCACGCCATGAACAACAATGCCCTAGCTCCTTTTTATGAAATTATAGTCAATTGTTATTGCAAAAGAGCATCAGATTATGATTATAGTTGCATTTACTAAGCTCCTTATGCAAACATTCAAAAAAAAAGCAGACTTACTCAGATGACCGTGTAATTTCTGTAATTCACAGGATTTAAAGTTAAACAATTCCAATTCAGTGCCTTTTGAGTAACGCATTTGCAAGAAAAAGCCCTAGATTTACCTTCCACCAACTGACAGTCAGTATCTTTTGTTTTCTCTCTCTTGACGCAGAAACAGGAATAAAAATCTCTCACTCTTTCAATTACTTAACATTTTCCCCCCATGAAGTACATGGCCACGTAGTACATGCCACCCAATAACTCTTTGAAGAAAATAACTTTATTCTTAGTCCTGTGCCCTCCCAGCTACAGGTCTACAATAAAAGGATTAAAATCTATACAGATATGAAAACTAGAAAAAAGGCCTAAAGTCAGCTAGTCTTTAAATGGAACAAATTGACACACTATATGGAAACAGAGTAATCTTTTTTCCTCAACAAAAACTCAGTATGTCTGCAAAATTACTGATTCAATCTACCATTATCAAAACATGAAACAAAACAAAGAGAAACAAAACCCACATATTGCATAAAATCCATATGTTTGCAAACTCCCCTAAAATGAGTGGAAAGGAACAATACTTAAATAGAGCACTGACCCAGACATATCATCCAACACAATTGTACATGCAATTCTGGCTTCACCAGAACCTGAAGAAACCTGGAAATAAAGCCTTCTTGCTTCGCCTGGTGACAAAATACTAAAGAATGAGGAGAAAATTCTGTGTTTATAAAATGGAAGATGCATTATTGATGTTGCTAGATAAAAGTATTAAATAAACATTTAATACTTTTACATATTAAGTATCACATATTAAGTATCGTGTCATATTAAGTATTACATATTAAGTATTACATATTAAGTATTACATATTAAGTATCGTGTCATTTCAGTTATTATGGAAATCAATTGCAGTGACTATCTATGGGGAAGGGTTAAATAAAATGCGACATAAGACCCATTCTAAACTGCAAAAGTTACTACAAAGCAAAGCTACAGTATCTCATGTTTTCTCAACAATGCCAAACTGAGCAACAGAAGCACCCGAAATCCAGGAAATAGTCAAAGTTTGGACTGATACAGACTTCGCCTGCTCTACACCAGACACACTGGGAATGTACCCTGTGGCACAACATAGAGGGCAGCAGTAGCGTGAAAGGGTGTACGAATTTACCTGAACTGTACCAGACAGGACCTTATTCCAGATGTACTAAATTTCAATACAGCATATGTTTCACCAGAAATAACCCCAAACTTTACCACTCCCTTACAACATTTGTTTTAATCTTCACCCATATCCAGCTTACATAAAACAAAAACCCTTGGGCAGCCAACAAAAAGATCTAGAGAGAAACTTGTACTAATGAAACGTCACGGGTACTCCTTCTAATCATTCTTAAAACTGGGAGGGTCAAACCTTACTCAGTTTTTCCAGATACAACACCAAACCCCTATCATCCTGCACTCTAAGCTGTACATACTGTGCTGGGATGTAGCTGGGAAAAGTTTTGAAAGTTTCACTGGCTCTGAGAGGGGCTAGTATACCTCAACCCTTTATTTTACTGTCAGTAGTTTGAATATCCCTGACACCACATGAGGCAACTTAAGCTCTGCATTCATAAAATCCTACTAGTTAACTCCAAAGTAAAAACACATATAATAATATCCTTTCTGCAGTGCAGATCTGCAATCCTACAGCAAATTCTACATGTATGCACCAGCTTTATGAAATGAAAACAGCGTGAATGGGGTACAAAGCCACACCTCAAAAGGCTGCAGCCTCCCCAGTAGACTTGGGTGATGGTTTCCTATCAAAACTAAAGAGCTTCCCATTAATTTAGGATTTCCTACAAGAAAACAAAATTGCAGGGAGGAAAAAAAACCCAACAAAACTGCCCCACAGCTAAAAACACAGAATTGCCTTTATTTCAGAACTAAACAAAATACTGTGAACTATATCAGTATGACAGCAGGCTGAGGAGGCATGTAATGTACCTGCTGAGAGAGATCATTGTAAAGCCTAATATCACTGAGGCTACTCAATGAAAATGAGACATGATGGAAGTTTAAAAAGACACATTAACTACAAAAATAAGAGTCTGATTACAAGAAATAAAATTCACATATAACAAGAGATCAATAAAGTACCCAAGTTTAGTAGCGAGAAATCCGCTAACATCTAATGAATTCACTCCCTCGGCTTCTGCTGAGTAACTCTCCTTGTATACGCAAATACCGACTCTGGATGTCCTGTTGCAAGGAGTCAGACCAATAAATATATATGGTACCCTTGAAATTGTAATCCCTGTTGTATCATGGATACATACTTCAAAAGGACGTGGCGGAGGAGGTGGCAGGCTTGCAACTTTGGCTGCTCTTTGTCTTTCCACTTCCAGAGCACGTTTACGTGCATCTGCTCGTCTTGGGGGAAAAGACAAAACAAACCACAAAAGAGAGACAGAAAATTATTCAAGCAACAGTGACAGAACAGTGCAAAATAAAAGGTAAACCTAAAATGAGATTCTTAAGCACCTGCACTGACTGGTTGGGCCATAGGGATGGGGAAGCATATTAAAAAGATAACAGAACTTGGGGTGGAAGGCAGCATTAAAAATTACCTTCTTCAAGTTATGCAAAAACATTAATGTATACAAGCATCCCAAAAGCAAGGCAAAAATCTCTGCTTTTGACCTAAGTTTCCAGAAAGCATTGTGCATTTCAACCTACTTTAACTGCTTGAGTGTAGATATAGTTAACTATTTAATTTACAGGTCTTAGCTCAACCCAAGCACAAATACACCCAAGAGGAGACATGGCATTTTCCATGCCAGCACAAGTTTGTTCCAATCTGCTTAATAAAAAACAATGTAAGAAGGAAGACCATGACAAATACATTAGGTCATTTTTTCAGGTGGTTAACCCTCCATGAGGAACTGCCCTGACAACATTTCATTTCATATGTCACTGAACTCCTGGAGAGTCTATAGGGCCAGCTTGAATTCCTGACATTCTTGTCTTGGTCTTAAAGCTACAGTTTTTATCAAAAGGCACAAGCTTTGTCCACAAGCATTAATTCTCTAACCCATAAAATTTCAAGACTGAAAAAGCTCCAAGCAAGAAGCATCAACATTTTTGCCTTTCACCTTGTGACACTGTGAAGTTCATTCTTAATAAAACAAAATAACTGTTGCATACCTGGCTTGCTCACGAAGTAATTTTTCCTTTTGGTGCTTCTGCTCTATCAGAGCTTTTCTATGTCTTGTCTCTGCTCTTTGTTTCCTTTCCTCTGCTTGCTTTGCCAGAGCTTCTAAATCAGGTTCCTTAACATTAAAATATTGTAATCACTTAATACAGAATTCCACTCAAATCTCATACGATCAGTATGATATTTCAAACTACATACTGCTGGTAAGAAGCACAAGCTCAAAACTACCTTCTACTCTATTAAAGTAAAAATACTTTAATAACTTTTCCTTCTCTTCCATCTTTTATTTTCTTCTTCTCCGCCAACAACAGCAGCAAACCTGCAACATCCCTTGGCCAATTTAACCAAATATTGATGTAGAAATCTTAGCTTCTTCTACATCAGTTTGATGAAAAGGATAATTAAACATAGTTATTTAAGCACCCTGCAGCAAAAGCAAACTAAACTGTATAGAAGAAGCATGTTAATACCCTTCAGTCATCAACTAGTTTTCTGTTCCTATAACACTGGTTCCACAGTTTTTTGCTAATTCACCCATCCTAGCACTGGAAGGGACTTTAAAAAAAGTTGATTTAAAGACACTGATACATGGAAAAGCATAATGCTAATGCACTTGAGTTTAAAGAGTCTTATTAATTCAGGTAGTAAACTACTTTGCAAAATCCATGTAAGAAATCTACGGCTGATATCTGTAAACCTGATTCAGAGTCAAACCTATAGAAAATCTCTACCCAGAAATCTTAAATGATCTCTCAAGCAGAGCCTACACAAGTTATAGGATTTTAAAGAAAGCTAAATCAGTTTATAGGTGCAGAATTAAAGCGACACCCATTTTCAGTCCAGGCAAAGGTCTCTGAAGCCCTTATCAAGGTTTTCCATGTCACTGGAGCATTGAAGGGGAAAAAATGTTAAGTGTATTTTCTTGCCCATAGAAATGATCCATGGTGGAGAAAAAATTACTGTATTACTGGCATAATTGAGAAACTGAGTCATTATGTACAATTTAGTCAAGTACAATCATACATGATCATACAAGCTAATACAAAGTAACTTTAAAGTCTGCCCAGCAAAAGCCTTCACATATAGGCCCATAGACTATCTTGTAGGAAGATACCTGCAAAAAAATACACAACCACTTCTAAAAAGCTTCCATTCTTAAAAAGTTGTCTATTTAGGCAGGACTTCAAAATCTAGAATGTCAAAGGAAAAACCAAATGAACAGCAATTTTGGGATTTCTAAAACATTAAAATTGTCTCTGACAATATATGCTGGTATTGGCTGGGATAGAAGTTATTTTCTTTATAGTGGCTGGTATGAGGCCATGCTTTGGATTTGTGCTGAACACAGGGCTGATAATATAGAAAGGTTTGTGTTATTGCTGAGCAGGGCTCACACACAGCCAAGGCCTTTTCTGCTCTTTGTGCTGCCACACTGGCGAGAGAGTGGGGGGGTACATGGGAGGCTGGGAGGAGGCACAGCCAGGACAGGTGATCCCAGCTGGCCAAAGAGATATTCCACACCATCTGGCAGCATGCTCAGTACATAAAGTGGGGGAACAAAGGAGGAAGGAGGAGATGTTTGGAGTGATGGTGGCTGTCTTCCTCAGGTAACCATTACACACGATGGGTCCCTGCTGTCCTGAAGATGGCTGAACACCTGCCTGCCCAAGGGAAGATGAGAATGAATTCCTCATTTTGCTTTGCTCTATGTGTGGCTTTTGCTTTCCCTATTGAACTGTCTATATCTCAACCCATGAGTTTTCTGGCTTTTACCCTTCTGATTCTCTCCCTGATCCCACTGATAAGGGAGTGAGCAAGCAGCTGCCTGCTGCTTGGCTGCTGGCTGGGGTGAAACCATGACAGAATAATATTAAGCTCACTTACATTTTCCTTGGCCTGTCGGTGACCCTCCCCAATCGCTCTTAAGCTTGATAGATACAGTTCTTCCAGGGCTTTCATCTTCTCATCCTGTGCCTTCTGCCATTCAGCTCTCAGTGCCTCCTCTAACTGATGCAGTTGTTCTTCTCTCTTCTGCTTTACCTTCTGCCTTATCTGGTAGGAGATATACTTCTGCTGCTCTCTGACCTGTAGAAATAGCATTTATGTTTATCAGCAATTCAAGACAAGCATAATACTTTTTGCAGCAAGACTTTCCACAACACAGTTTACTCTACTTCCATCTTTCTATCTCATCTACTAGTCCATTCACAGTCTATCCAGAAAATACTTTCAAGTTGCTCCTACTCTTTTCCAAAATTATTATATAAAATAATAAATTTAATCTCAATTAAACACTTTGGTTAAAGTCCAAAATATTACATACAGGTGACAAACCGCAAACACTGCTTGGATATCCTCCTCTCCAAAAATATAACGCAATAATCTATGAAAGGCTCCTATTACAATTCAAGATTTAAAAAAATCAACAACTATACCGAAAACTTAGTATACATAGTTTATTATTTTCCACTTTGTATTTTAGGCTTTTTTTTTTTTTTACATAAAGGGTTGTCAAGCACTGGAACAAGCTGCCCAGGGAAGCAGTTGAGACACCGCCCCTTGAAAAGTTCAAAAGACATGTAGATGTGGCACTCAGGGACATGGTTTAGTGATGGACTTGGCAGTGCCAGATTAATAGCTGGAGATGATGATCTCAAGGGTCTTTTCCAACATAAAAAATTCCACCATTCTACAATACTATTACCTTGAAATGTAGCTTACAGGAAATAATCTTTTCACTTTTCTTAAATTATTTGTTATATCATCAAATGAAAACAGCACATGGAAAAATACCACAGGCATACCTGCTGTAACCTTAGTTTTCTTCTTCTTTCATATTCTTCTTTCAGAAACATGGCTTCTTCATTAGGACTTAGCCTCAATGTCCCAGCTGTTGCAAGTTTCCTCTTCATCTTTGGATATGCTGAATAATCAACTTCTACAAGAACAGTGCAAAGAAAAAAAGAAATTATGCATAAATGACACTGGCAAAACAGCTATAAAAACAGGATACTACCATAATGTTGTCAACCTTATGATGGTATCTGCATGTGAGAGCTACAACTGTTCATGTCTGTCCCTACTGGAGGCTGGAGCTGACATCTCAGAAGCCATTTCCAACCTTAATGACTCTTAACTGTACTCAACAGCATTGGCTCTGTCTTTGTCACAGTCGATAATCCTTTTGAACTTCTTTGAGCTATGTATCAAACACTGCAACAGCATGACATTCACAGTCCACTCTGCGGGCCAGCCACCAACATTTGCAAAGCAAAGAGTGAACACCATTCTGCTCCTGAGAAGATTTAAAAACAAACCCACAAACTACTGAAAAGCACACTGCAGGTGTAAAAGTAAAGTAAAATAAGCTGGTCACTCAGATGATTTCTACTGAAATACTCTCATAACTGTTGCAGAGAAGAGGTAAGATACCACAGCAATTTTGTTGATGTTTTTGGCTGCACTCCAAGATTTTCTGGTGTACAGGCTCTGAAACTCTAGCAACAGCCTGCGTACCAAGCATTTCACTGGAAAGCTGAAAGTGCTCACTAACGGTTTTTTATTCAAATTTTCCTAAGAAGACAAATTTCAAATTATGTTTCCTTCAAAATTTTACTGTGAAAGTCTAAAATTCCCCTCCCTCAAACCAAGTAAGATTTTTACTGAATCTTTAAATATTTATAACCCTGAAAATATTCGCACGAAACAAGCAAAGACTTTCAAAAGCCACTGTTTGATTCTAAAAAAATCTAGTGAGAGTTTAACCAACATATCACACCTGAAAACTATTATTTTCAGAATCATATATAATGATCTTGGTATATCTAGACACAGTATCGCAGATAAAATAGCAACACTGTAAAGAAATCAGGCGAGATGTAAAGCCGAAGATCACATTCGGTAAAGGGTTATTAAAGCAATGAATCCCAAGATCTTTACAGCATAAAAAGGGTCAGTAGCATCCTGGATCCTGCCAGCCCTCCTTTAGTCACCCGATGAGCTACAGAAGTTTATCACGGCACAAAATTAAGTAGCAAATTACTATATTCTCTCTCTCACACGCACACACACTCCTAAAGAGAGGAAAAATGTATAGGATGACCAATGCAGAGCCTGGATCCAAAGGCTAAGAGCGGAGGTAGAGACAGCGGACGCCGCGCTTGCCCGGGCTCAGCCGCAGCACGGGGCGGGTGGTGCGGGGCGGAGAGCGGCGAGAGGGCCCCGGCAGTCACCGGGACATCCGCACCTGCATCCGCCCGAGCTGAGCAGGGACAGCGCGGGGGAGCGGGGGGTGGGAAGGGAAGGGAAGGGAAGGGAAGGGAAGGGAAGGGAAGGGAAGGGAAGGGAAGGGCAGACCCGTCTCTCACGCACCCGCGCCACCCGGGCCCTCCCGCTCACCGAGGCGCCAACGGCCGCCGCCCCGCCACGTGACCCCGCACCCCCAACGAGCCGCCAATAGCGCATGCGCCGCTGCCCGAGCCCCGCCCCCGTCCCCCTGTAGCCAATTGAGACTCGGGACGGCGGCGAGGGGCGCGCGCGCCCAATATAAAAGCGGTGCTGGGGGCTATGAAGGCATTTGTCCCGCAGGGTGTCCTGGGGGCTCCTCTGTGCCGGTCAGCCTCTTCCCCATGGCCGATCTAAGTGCGGGCGGTGCCTTGCTCGCTTAACGCGGCACGTGCAGAAATAGATGCGGGGGCGGGGTTCGTCACCCCGGCTCCCTCACAACACCGCCCCTGGAGCCCGCGGTCGGAGTTTCCAAGTGCTCGCGTGGGAGGGGCACTCACTAGCCGAGCTTGAAATGCTGAGAGAGCGGAATCAAAGTGAATCCTGCTAGTTCTGCCTCACTAGTGTTACTCCTATGCAGCTTCCCTGTTCAGAGCTGCATTTGGTTGCACTGTTTCAGTAGAAGCAGTATCATAGAATTATAAAATGGTTTGGCTTGGAGGGGGACCTCGAGGATCACTGAGTTCCAACCCGTTCAGGCTATGGCAGTACCTCTGTACGTGTAGTGCTGCTCTGCCTCTCTTCTAGGCTTGCACATGGCTTCTACAGTAGGCACAACTGTGCTGCTGCTTCAACCTTGTAGCTAAACCTTTCCTTTATAACCCTAATTTTTAACTAACGTCTGCCCCTTGTAAATTTGATGGAATGCTTGCTTCTTTGCTGGTAGCATGTAGTGACAGGACAAGGGGGTTTAAACCCATTAAAAGAAAATCCTATTTAAAGAAAATAGGTTCAGATTAAACATTAGGAGGAAGTTCTTTACTATGAGGATGGTGAGGCACTGGCACAGGTTGCCCAGAGAAGCTGTGGCTGCCCCATCTCTGGAAGCTGGATCCTCCAACACTAGGTTGGGTGGGGTTTTGAGGAACCTGGTCCAGTGGAAGGTGTCCCTGCCCATTGCAGAGGGACTGGAAGCAGAATACATTTAAGGTCCCACCCAATCCAAACCGTTCTATGATTCTTCTTCACACTTCACCTTTCTTTCTAAGAGGAACCATTTATCATATGTGTAAGATTTGCAGCAGCTGGGATTTGAAAGTGGAGATGTCAGATATCCTTGATTTATGAGGAATATAAATGTTATTTGTATTGAAGGAAAAAATTCTGCCACACATACAAATGAGGCAAGATAAGCCGTGTTAGTCTGTTTCTTTGCATGGAGCACATTCCAAGGGTCTGACCTGCTGCTACAAAAATGAAAGAAATGTTTGTGACTTAAAACAGGCCAGGAACAAAGCAGATAATCAATTGTCTTGGGATGAAACTTGAGTGCAAAATATAGCTACCTTTTTGGCAGTTTCTTATAGAAAAAGAAAAAAATATATTTTATGCTAGGAACTAGCTGTCATAGTAACCCACCACATTGTGCCCTACAGGACTGAAACCAGGAAGGCTGAGATTACTCTGTAAAACTTATGGTTTGGTGCATGCAGATGCATGGCTGCAAAAAAAATAGACTAAATAAATACAGAATTGCAAGAGAAAAGACATCAGCATAAGGAGAAGAGGTAATATAGCAGTTTAATGTGCTTTGTTCCCTGCCTTCTGCATTTCACTGCTAAGCTACCTTCTTGTTCACAGATTTTTATTTTCTGACAAGTGTCTGCAACTTGCTGCAAACTACTGACTGAAATAGCTGGTACCAAGTTAATATCTGATTGTACATTAGACACACAGTTGCTTCACAGTATGCATATTGAATAAATTAGAGTTGAGAAGTGCACTTCCAAATGTGTTTTCTAGTCTCCTTATTGGATTTTTTTGTCCTTCAGCATTTTCATTATGGCAGTGCTCTCCTCAATAACATCACTTGTAGATAGCTTTATCCTGCAGGTCAACAGGTGAAAAAAAAGTCAAGATAGTCTATTAAGAGAGTAATTGAGATTATGGATTTTAATCCTCTACTTATAAAATGTGAAAGAGGTCAAATATATGCTCCTCAATTATACTGTTGAATAAAAGGGATATTATGAAACCAACATGTGCTGGGTAAGAATTTTGTTTCAAGGGTGCTTTCTGTCATTGTCTTGCAGAATTATTTCTGCTATTGTTCAATTTACATACATATACTGAAAACCAGGAATTTTAATACTGTAATGTTTTCTACATTTGACTACACACACTTAAATTACAGTATTACAGACCTGCATTAATTCCTTCCCCCTGTGAAGTAGATGGTGTTCCTTTTATAAAAGGTGAATAGTCATGCAGCAGTACTGGTGCCTTTAGTCAGGGATACATAAAACTGGAGGTACTGAGCTTCAATTATTGGTCACATTCCTCTTGAGGAAAAGAAATTACACTTGCAGGAATTATCTACAAATTCCCAAGATATCCACTGGAAATTTGAATTTCTTTTCAGAAATATAATGCTTTTCATATGTATAAAATGTCTCAGAGTGAATTTATGTGAAAACACATATTTGAAAGAAATCATATTAATTTAATGCATTTGAGGTTGAAGAGGGGTTGTATGACTCTGAAAGCCACTGATGAGTTGGCCTGCAGTGCACAGTCAGGAGCTCAAATCACAGTATAGGCCTTGTGCTATTCCAGAAAATGTCTTTTGAGAGCAGACTGCTTGTACTTCCCTATCACAGAGGAGGTTTATTCCATCAGTAGATGAAGCATTGCAAGAGATTTTGGCACAGGCACCTTGCCTCCGTGTGCTCTGTGGGGCCGTTTGGCCCCAGTGTGAGCTCCATGAGGCTGGAGGTGACCTTGTGTGGCCTGAGAGAAAATATTCCCTGTCTCACAAGAAAATATTCCCTGTCTCATGGGCAGGTCTAGCAGACCAGCATAAGCAACCTATATATTTTACTACCACAGGAACACTTGCACAAGGGAAAGACAACTTCACAGGCTTTTCTGCATCTTTAGCAGGGAAGCCCTGGTTTTAAAGGTTTTCTGCAAGCTAGTAAGGGAACAGTACAAACACCTGACAGATCACCCTTGCACAAAATAAGTACTCTCTTAAGGACTTAGCACCCTGCATGAAATAAGTATTCTCCTTGAAAAACCCTGAAGGAAGAGCTTTAAAAACTATGTCACATTCAGACACGAAATTCACCTGCCCTGAGTCCTCTAACATCATTATACATTACTGCAGTTTTCTGCTTCTAGTCTCCTTCCTGCTGATAACTGAAGTATTAGAATGAAATGAGACTTTATCTCAGTCTGAATTGGCCTTTCTCTGCATTCAGTATTCCTCAATGTCACATCCCACACTGTCATATAATCTTAAAAGTTCCCCTATGGTTCATTTTGGTTTGATGTGTGATTACTTCCCCGTGCTGTTCTTTGTCACACCTGGCACCTGATGTCTAATTATCGTGACCGCCAGGAGCTGACAGGACGTGGTTTTACGAATGTTTGTAATCCTCCAGTCCACACATTTTCAAAACTGCAAAGTGCTTTTGTTAAATAGTTTGCAGTAAGTACATTTGTGTGTAAGCTTTGCAAAAAGACAAGGAGTTTCCTAGAAAGGAAGAAGGGCTAATCTTTATTTTTGAGGCTGACTAATCTACCATGGTCAGCTTGTGCAAGCACAGCCTATAATAGTTTCTGCCTGAGACTGATTTGGAGATAAATTTTCTTGACAGATGTGGAAGAATAGCTTTTGTTATTATACTCCATGTCATGTAATAGAATGCTGCAAAGCTACATTTTCAGTACCAATGCAACTGTATCCACAGCTGTGCCTGTATAAATTCTCA